CTAGGTCAGTGTTTCGCAACCTTTGGTGACCGAAGGCATACATTTTACATTAGAAATATCTCACGGCACACCACCCACCCAACAAAAATGTCTGCTTAAATATGAAGACTTTCAACACAAAAGCAGACATCTCAATTGTTTAAATTGTTGTTTTTATTTCTGGTTTCACTTTAAAGTTGATCATTTTTAATGAGGCTATTCTAAGTGAATACAAATGAAGTAATTATGCAACATAAAGGATTTTGTGATTGTCAGACTGCGAGTAGGCGCAGCTTTATTTTTGCACAAATGGTGCTAGTTGGCCTTTGGGCTGTAACTATTCACCCCCCCACTAAAAAAAAAAAAAGAAAGATGATGTGAGCTGTTGGTGGAAGAGCATTTACATTTTCTGCCGGTCACTTAATGTCCATGGCACAAATAGATGAAAATAGATACATTACTTGTTGTAAATAAAAAATAATTTTCAGTCCAATTAAATGAAATTGAATCATTTCCTGATGATCTCTAATGAAACACAAACGTTTTGCGAATGTGATTGGGTCATTTTGGTTGCGTTATACGGTGCATGTGACTCATTGCTCAACCCGCGTTGTTTGCTTGGATTATCTCTTTATCAAACTGGACCTGGGCGTGTGGGGCCATGTTTCAAGTGTGGCTGTTCTACATTTGTCATTTGTCCATGCTTTACGAGCATCCACCTTTATGAGTTCTGGCTGAATACAAGTCGGAGTCATTTGGCCACTTTGTGGCTTTTAGAACTTTCTGTGATATGTAACCCAGCGCCCTGATGAAGCGCATGACCATTTACACGCTTGCAGCATAAATCATTAACTTGTCCTGGTGTTTTATGAGCTCATATGTGGAACTAAATACCCTCAGATGCAAAATGGACTACACTTGAACATTGTAAATGTAGTGTAATACGGAACATTCTGCCTTTCATTTAGATCAGTGTTTCCCAACCAGGGGTGGGTGGAAACTTTAATAACTGACTTACCAGATCAATAACCTGTGGCACAGCTGCGCCCAAAATCGGCCCAAAAAATAGCTACGAGTCAACTCAAGTGTTTTATGAAAGCTCAGATGACCGAAGAAATGAATGGAAAGAAAGTAAAACTGCAACAGCAGGTCTGAATGTGAATCATGTTCAGTGTTTTGTTCCTTATATTTTAAATTTAAATGCTTGTTTAAAGGGGACTTATTCAAAGGGGCTCCATTTTTGGGTGGTAAACGTTCTAAGCCTATATTCTGCAAAACAAAGGCAGGTTTATGGATGTATGTTTTTTTATTTGTATTACTTATCTATTTTCAAGGCAATTTGTTTATGTTTGGGTTAAAGAGACGACAACATGTAAGAATTAAATGCTCAAATTAAGGAAAGAAAATAACATTGATTTTGATTTAGTAATAAGCTGTGTTACGTTTTACTTTTGGAGAATCATCAACACGTATGAGTTGGGGGGAACTCATGGAATGACAAAAAGGTTTGAGGGTACACAAGCCCAAAAATGTTGGGAACCACTGATTTAGACAATAGTACTCCATTTTGCTTGAGACAGATTAATGTTCTATCCTGGCCACACATGAAAGAAAAAAAGATATAACTGGGCCGATTTGCTCACTTTGTCTTCATGTGTGCTACTGGGAGAGTACGTAATAGGTTGATTTGCGGTTGTCTGCTCTCTTGAATGACCCCTCTCAATTTTAATGGGCATTTAGTAATATATTAAAAAAAAAAAAAACATGCTTGCATGACATTTTCTTGGCAAACGGCCTGTTGAGTCATGTGTTCTGCAATAACCCTTTAAGGGGCAGCGGTTACTACAGTGGACAGCTTATCGTGTTATCAGGTTAGAGGATGCATGAAAGGGTTTATTTCTAGAGATATATCGGAGAAGTAGTTCATGCATGCTGATTTTTTGACACTACTGTATATACAATTCCAAATAATGACAAAATCTCATGTCATTTGTGTTTTGCTAAAAATAGACACTTGGGACCACATACAAGACAATGTTATGATAGGTTGTTGCATCACCTGATGTCTTGTGTGTGCTTTATCTGTGTAGCTTTTGGGGCTGCTCCACTGGACGCTGATCGCCAGCTCGCATTACATGTGGGCGCCGGCCAATGGCTGGGTGCTGTTTGTGGCCATCACCTTCTGGCTTCTCACCAGCATCCTCTTCATCATGATCCTCTTCGGTGCCCAAAGGAGACTCACTGGTGTACCGTGGCCACTGACGGTACGTAGGAGGCAATGGGTGGAGAGAAACAAGCAGTTAAAATTAGGAAAGCTGCCACAAACTACACATGGTGAAAAAGAATGGGTTAATTCCAACAGTTTGTCATCATTGAGTTCATATAGCACCTACATAATTCAGCACGAGCTGTTTTAAAATAATCTGCCTTTAAAAAAAGAAAAATCTGTTATAGAGAGGCCGACCCGGTGGTCCAGTGGTTAGCACGTCGACCTCACAATGCAGAGCTACTCCCTATGTGGAGTTTGCATGTTCTCCCCGGGCCTGCGTGGGTTTTCTCCGGGTACTCTGATTTCCTCTCACATTCCAAAAACATGCATGGCAGGCTGATTGAACGCTATAAATTGTCCCTAGGTGTGAGGGTGAGCGTGGATGTTTATTTGTCTCAGTGTGCCCTGCGATTGGCTAGCAACCGGTTCAGGGTGTCCACCACCTACTGCCCGAAGACGGCTGGGATAGGCTCCAGCACCCCCGGCAACCCTTGTGAGGATAAGCGGATCGGAAAATGGATGGATGGGTGTTTTAGAGAATACTTGTCAATACAATATGAACAATACTAACAGTGCAACAACGATGAATATTATATTAACAAGGAAGACATTTATTTTAATACCTCTGTGACTATGTCAATTAAAAGGCAACATCATTATCATTGGCAGGACAGAACATTTTATTATTTTGAGTCTTGTATTGCAACTCATAAAATTCAATATGTGATGTGATTTTTAAAAAATGGTGACCAGAAGATTTTGAAAATGTTACAATATGTTTTGCGACGGTTCTTTCACTAGGTAATGGTGTACCATGGAGTAGCCACGTTCCTCTATCTGACCGCCTTCCTGGCCAACGCCGCATCTGTTCAGCCCTTCTACTACAGCTACTTCTTTGGACATATGGCTGCTGCTGCTGTGAGTGTATTGTGACACCGGACACCTTTCACACTCAATACGCAATGATAGAAGGAATTCGGATGAATGCTCGGTCAAAGGTATTAAGATACATCATCAAAGTCTGCTTTCAGTTCATTTACAAAACAAAAAATGCGGGAGCTTGACCAATATGCATTTCTAAAATCTTAACATCTACTTCAAACAAATAGGATTAAGTTGAACGAAAAATCTGATATTTGTTTTGGTGAAATGGGAATGTCTTGATGGCACCTTATTGACTCGCTGGTGTTTTATTGCTTTCAATTGCTCCAGGTTTAAACTGTCACCACCATAAACCCTTTGCTAGATGGACAGATTGGGTTTTAGCTAACATGTTTAACATTCTCAACCACCAACAAGTAGCCTATAAAGTTTATCACTGTAAAATAAAACGAAAACTACTCACCCTTTTGAAACCTGACGAAGATGTTTGTAAAGTGCTAGTGTTATGTTGTGTACATAAGTACATTTGTTTTGTTGACCGGTACCACAGAAGAGATTATGCAACATCTATAATGTAACACTTTTCTTATTATTTAGCATGCTAAACACACCTGGAATTCGAAAAAAAAAAATCGAGAGAAAAGAGATGAGGAACAGGTGTGTTTTTTATACAAAATGGTTACTTGCTCCTCAAATATAGTCAAGGTGTGTCAATACAAACTATGTGCTGTTGTTTAGCTTGAAGCTAAAGTCCACAATGCTTCTCTTACACACACACCCAGCCTTGGCCTCTGTATTCTAACAAAGTGTTATCACTGGCATGTGTCCAGTTAAAGGCCCATTCGTGTGAAGTTTAATCTTACGACCCGATACAACAAAGGCGTGAACACAAAATTGAGCCTGACAACCTTTTTCTAAGTGGTCATAAGAGCTAAGGTTACTTCAGTGTCACTTCGGGTTGATGTCCTTCAGCCATCTTGTTTCTCTGCCTGTCCAGTTCTTTGGCGCAGTGGTGACGGTGACGTACGGCATCAGTGCTTTCTTCTCCTATTTGGACTGGAAAGGAGACGGAGGAAATGCTGCCACCAGCACAGTGCCCACCTAGGAGTTGAAGAAAAGCCTCTCAAAGACTGTTTTATTTATGCTAGGTCTTGTTTGTCTCTTAAGCAATCAACAAGGGGTTGTGTGATTACTGTTGTTGCCCAACGGACAGAGATTACACTCCACTGGATGACACTTATTACGTATTGTCTATTCACAATGTTTGTAAATCCCGCTTTATTTTGAATTTCTTTGACATAGGCCAAAAGCAATTTCGTTACATGCCCAGGTTTCCTGCCAGCATCTTTTCTATCCTGACCCCCTTGTTTCCATCAGTTGCTTTTTATTCTTGTATTCTTATTTCAATCCTTCCATTGCTAAAACCTGTCCTGCCTTCCTTCTCCCAAGACACTTTTTTTTCAGACATCCTTACACCCTTCCTTTAGTTGCTTCAAGCTGTTTTTCTGACTTCCTCCCTTAACTTTTCTTGCTCCCAATTCCTTTACCTTATACCAAACCCTTTCTTCCCCTGCTTAAATCTAACACGCTGCCTTCCATCGGTACCTGTCCAATGCTGCTTCAGAATTCACTTTTTTCCTGACTCAAAATATTTGCTCGTCACAGTACGAGTTCGACTGGTGAGCACCTCCACCTCACAGTGCAGAGGTGCTGGGTTCCATCCCGGCTACAACCTTTCTGTGTGGAGTTTGCATGTTTAAATATTTAAGAGAGTCGAGCAATCCTTTGGTGAACACAGCTCAATTATGCGAACACAGCTCAATTATGCACATGTTCAATAAAAACACATTAATTAAAGCAACGGGAGATATGAGGCTTTCTGTTCTTTATTAGAAAATGTGTCACAAGCATTTCATCATAGACAAGTGTACTATACAAATCTCTATTTACAGTTAATCACTTTCACAGGCACAACATTCAATCCTAACAATATTGTAAAAATGTGAGTTTTTATATTGTCACCAACTCAAAACATGTAATGCAAACTTTATACTTTTTTTTGTTTTTGCTTATGATCAGTCTGTGCATGTCTCATATTTACTAAACAATCTTAAGGATTATTACCAACAGTAATATTTATGAAAACCCTCCTGATATTGTTTATAAATAAAAATGAGTGCAATGTCTCTGTGTCATGCATTTTCCATTTTAGAATAGGACTGCAGGAACATATAAGCAATTAGCTTTTAGGGTTGTTTTGCACACAACTATACTTTTCAGGCATCGACCTGCGGTAGCGCACTGGTTCATGAGATAGCACCTTGGCCAGAACAGAAAGGCGGGCTCGAGCTGGGATGCGTCTTTCAATCTGTGTGGGGTTTCCATGTTCTCCCTGTGCTTTTGTGGGTTCCCTGACAACTTCCTCCCAAGGTGCAAGAACGTGCATGTAAGGTTCACGCAAGACTACATTGTCCATAGGTGTGAGTGGTTGTCTGCTTCTGTGTCAGACTTGAGGTTTATGGGTGATCACAAGCTAACAATGCGTTTGAGGCTCAATGAACACTACGGCATACGTACATGCTCTTATCGTGTGTGTATGTGTGCATGTGTCACTTCAGCTGATTGGATCCAGAGTGGCTAGAGGCTGCAGGGGTTAAAGGCGTGACTACAAGTCCTTGGCTCAGGTCCAGACTGCGTCCCTCCTTTTCCTAGAAAATATTAAATGCATTAAAATATGCCATAATAGCTGATAAAGGCATTCTTTAAGCATATCAGTTGGCGTACTCACCACTTTGTACTGCAGAACCATCTCCTTGAAGGCCACAAAGTCAATAAAGGACAGCAGGATGTCAACAATGTCACCTGACACCTCATCTTTGTGCTTCCTAGATGGAAGGGAGAGAGAGGGGCATGATGGGAATCTGTCTTAAATGCCGTCCTGTGGCCAGTTGTGTTTCAAGAATTGCTTACACAACAATAGATTATTAAACATTGAGTACATTGAGTGAATCCATGTCTAGCCGGAGTCAACTAGACACATATTTGTGGAAAGTAGTAATTGGTGTAAGCATGTTGAAATGATACAGCTCAACTGAGGAACTAAAATCTTTGTCAGGGTGGAGCTAAATTTAGCCTGGTTTTTAGCGGAAGTTATGGAGAGACTTCACCACATGTGCATGCAACTGCGCACTTGCAGTGTTTCTTTAAAATCAAATCATCTGTAATCTATTTTGAAGGGTACTGCTGTAAATGCATTTCAAATGATATTAGAGTTTCTATTAAATAAAAATAAATGCCTACCACAGAGAAGAGTGTTGATAACAATGCTGCCAAATTTGAATGGCTAAACAAGACTGCATCATTTATAAAATAAGGCTTCAAAATTGTGAAAAATTATCCTGCGTTCAGCCACTTTGGGCATGTCCACTGAAGGTGTTGAAACCACGCCATGACTCAACCCATCCCAGAAAAATGTCACTTCATCTCAGGTCTTTCTTATGCCTACACATAAGCATGTTTGAGCCACAAAAATATATTCAGTTAAAGCCTCCGGTGGCAATTCCACCTTTTCTCTGTGCGACATGTGTCACGGCCAACAACGAGGTGCTCTAAAGCAGCCGCGCCAGTGGACTATCTGAAGAGAAGAGGCATTTTCGAAGTGGAGGCTTAGCTAGCTCAGCAACTGCCCGTCATAATTGTATAAGACAAACACTGATGTGAATGAAAACGCTCAAGTTTTCGTAAGGCTGGGGAAGGGAAGACTCAAAATCATTGTTTCCAGGTTTTTTTGGGACATTTTCAGCGATGATCATCAAACATCTATCCACCCATTTTCTAATTCGCTTATCCTCACGAGGGTCGCGGGCGTGCTGGAGCCTATCCCAGCTGTTATCGGGCAGTAGGTGGGTTACACCCTGAACTGCTTGCCAGCCAATTGCAAGGCACACAGAGTGTTAGAGGAATCTACGAACAGAAGGATACCATGTTTAAAGTTCCATTTAATTTGGGCCTGTCTAGACGTGTTGTGTATTTAGCGTCCCCAAATGTCTGTGCGCTAGGGTGTCGGCCGTCTCGGGAGGAGGCTCTTTGAATCCACATTACCGCAAGAGTGCGAACAGATAGAAGGAGGCTAGACTGAGTCAACAGTTTAGGAACGAAATGTTTTAGAACATCAAAGGACGGTCTGGGAACTGGTCGCGGCCCAGGCGACCATTTGTCATCTGCGAAGTCAGCGACTTGTTTATTCGTGGGAGACGGTGTTAAAGTATCTGTGGTTCAAAGCTTGACAAAAGCTAATCACATCGGCGACCGAGGGGCCGGACTGGGGGCGTGGTATGCAAATATCAGGGGCAGTGTCTTTCTTATATTTTGCATATGTAAACAATAAAAGACCGATGAGGAGCACGATGTACTTTGAGTGTAATCGCGTAGCAACTGCCCGCCGTTCGCTCTGAAAGATCCGCTGCCGTCGGACTGCACCAGCAACCTTCCCTGAGTCGAGTTCTTCTATTTAAATTTGTCCGGGTATAACTCTGACACATAGACATACAACCATTCGCGTTCACACTCACACCTCGGGATAATTTAGAGTGTTCCATTAACCTGCCATGCATGTTTTTGGAATGTGGGAGGAAACTGGAGTTCTCTTGAGAAAACCCACACAGGCATGGGTAGAACATGCAAACTCCACACAGGAAGGCCCTGCACCTCTGCACTGTTAGGCGGACGTGTTAACCAGTCGACCACCGTGCCGCCTCATCATCAAACATGTGTAATGTAGTTTGAAACAAAAATCGGAATTCTCTTAACATGGTCGTCAAAGAGTTTTGGGGTAAATGGACACCAAAAGTGATTTCTATGCTTACATGAGATGATCAATGAAGGTGGACATAATGAAGCCAGGGATCCTCTTCATCAGCTGGTGTTCTACATATTTCTCCAACAGCTCCACCTACACACAAACAACAAATGGAAGCACACATGAAAGCTACAGGCTGTCATGCTATTAAGTGGTATTTAAGACCAGTGGAACCCTCAGCACCGTTCAGGGTGGCACAGATATATGTAAAAACAGATTCAATGCAATTAACCTATCATGCATGTTTTGAAGATATGGGAGTTAGGGAAAACCAACACAAGAACAGGGGAAAATATGCAAACTCCACGGAGGAGGGCCAGAGTCGAAATCCAAACCCCGAACCTCAAAACTGTGAGACGGATATGCTAACCATGACTCACATATTCATTGAAAATGGGTGTGTAGCTGAGCTTGTTCTCTTCGGTGCTGTCAAACTCTTGATAGTGTTTCTCCATGAAGGTCCGCTGTAATACCTGGAAATCCTCCTCTAAAAAAAAAAACGGCATCGCAAATTTTCATTCTCACATAAAGCCTGCGCATCACGACTGAAGAGGGAGAGTGATTTGAATTGAAATTATCTCACCCATAATGATGTCTTCTATGCAGCCAATGACAGAGTCGAATGCAGTGTCTGCAGCTGAGGAACTGAATGCAGAAGGAAAGATATCGGTTCACAACACGAGAGACCAACATATGCTTCTTGGATAATCAGTGTGCTTTTCAACCAACCTGGAAATTGCAAAGGTTTCGTCCTCCATGTCAACCATGTCCACAATGTTCTCGCCGCAGCTCTGCACACCTGTGGCAGGGGAGAGGGTGTAAGGCGACGTTTGCTTTAAAATGTAAACCTCTTTAGTTCGTCAGAGCTGTGTATTATCGCACACCTTATAAGTTTAGCTCTATACTCAACGACAACGTCAGCTAGCACCCTAGCGTGGCTCCGGCTAGCTAAACACGTGAGCGAAGATATAATAAATATAAATACTGTAATCATGTTTTGGCGGATTACTATACTACGAACGTTAATTTCAAGATCAACTAAGTACATTTTCCCACTTACCTCGTCCACGAACATCCATGTTTTAATGTTAATCTGGAATCGTAAATTAGTGAAGTAGTGGTGTTACCTAGGAAACGACCACCTGGTGCTATTTGAGGTCGGGTCCGACAGACTACAGGCGAGCAAAATAAGTTCCGAGAAGATACGTCACAATGTTGCATTCGCGGATGGATCGGTAAAAGAAACTCCCTGGTTACCCGAACGCCTGCTGACTTCAGACATTTGGCTCAAAATGTTGGTCCTTCCTTGTAATGCTTTTGCAAGATTCATTGTGAGTGCTAAATGTATGGAAAATTTAAGAAGATGTGGTTGCATCTTTTAATATAACCGTTTACGAGTGTCATTAAAGCAGACGCAAAAAGGTACTCAAAAGTAATGCGTTTATCATCAGGTTTAAATAGTTTTGAGTTTTCATTGTAGATAATTAGTAATTTTTTTTGTTTATTTTTACAAAAATGCTTAGTTTTAGTTTAGGTTTATTTAAAAATATATGTATTTGTCGAATGCAAAGAAATTCTGTAATAAATAAACTTATAACTCAAACAACGGTTTGACCTTCCTTCTTCCATATGAATGTGCCGCAATAATGAAATAATTAGATTCAAAATGGATCCGCAAAGCTCATTAACAAAAACGAAAACCAAGGACTTTTTCAATATTAGTTTTATAAATGGTTAGGTCGGGTGTCGCCAATCTTATTGAAACTAAAAACGACTCATTGACGAATACAAAAGGCTCCCAGTTTTACACACACTTCTGAAATAAATTTGCTCACTGTACCTTCAATCATGATATTGATTACATGTTGAAACAGACAAAAGCTTTTTTGTATCGCGATATACTTTTTTTTTAGTAACTCGTCTGAAAAATTGCCTGTACTTTCATCTCTTTAACATCTATCTACTTTTGGAGTACTTTATGCTTCGCTCGTGGCAGGCATAATCCTCGTACCTGCAAAACCTTCACTTTCTAAGAAATCAAAAATCTTAAATTTGTGAAGCAAAACTAACGATGAACAAATGATCTAGCAGGATGTAAAGACACACAAACATCACATGAACATTTATTACAAATAGCACAATCAAGGATACAACAATTCTTTGATAAATCGCATCTTTGGGAATTCTGTGGGGGAAATTCCTCAATTCATTTTTCTCAACAATATTTCACAATTTTATCCTGAATTACATCCCCAGCCATCCAACTCATTATTTCCCTCAGCTACTCTTTTAAGGTGCTCCAAATTAGCAAACAGTAACTAGACAAGCACTTACTTGTCTCACTGACCAATTCAAGTCATCTTCAGAAATCCTCCCAGTATACTTTAGACGTTTTTTATAGACTGAGCTCATGCATATGTTGAATACATTTCGGCTGTGATTTTATTAACAATTAAAACACGTCTTTAGATAAGCCACAAAAAGAATCTTCCTCAAAAAACAAGTCAAGCCGGAGATGCTTCAAATAAAGCTGGGCAGTAAACATGGTATCCATTGTAAAGGGTCAGTCTGAAGCGGTCACGACTGCTTGTATCCAAGATGATAGAGCAAATTTGAGGAAGTTTTGTAAACAAGCAGACTTACTAAAGGAGTGCAATGATTTGTAGCAAAATGCATAAAAAAAAAGATGGTTACAAACAGATGCCACAACATCTTCTGGAGAAACACTTGGGGTATTTAACATAGCTATTAATGATTAAAATCAATAGCTGAGTTATCTGACAGCCCAGTCCAAATAATATTTATCATGTATTACTGTGATGTCACAGTGATAATGACAAAATAAGTTGTTTTTTTAAGGGGGGTGGGTTGGTTGCACTCTTCTAGAAAGTAACAATGTAGCGATGCCACATTTATGTGTCAACCTAAGCAAACTAAAGACTCACTCGGGTGGTTCGACTTAAGTTTATTATCGCTGTTATCCACATCTTTGCTGGGAGCATCTTTAGTATGTACTTGTGGTCCTTACTGACATACACCACTGCACGCAAAGGTCAATCTAAGACTTCAAAATAAAACGCAACAAGCAAGCAGAGATTGTTTCAAATCATTACAGTACCGAATTGAAGGTTGCTTACTGTATGGGCAGTAGTCTAAGTCATTCCTCTGGCGAGACTGGACATTGAACATTCATCTTTGTAAATTAAGTGAGGCCTACATGTTTTTGGTCTGTTGACATTACTGCATCAGATCGTCCCTATTTGTGAAAAGTCCACATAATGGGTCATGGTTCAGCATCAGGAAGGGACATTAACTGAGGGGCATCGGTATGACATGGAGCAAAGACAAGGAGAATGCTACCTTCGAAACACAATAAATTGCAGATTTACACCCAGTAATATAAAAGTGAAATACCTCACATTTGTCTGTACCTTAGAGTTAACACTGTATTCATGACTGAATTGATTACTACTACCCTGCTCTTTCAGAACCCAAAACAGTGGCCTCTAAACGGGCTGTATCTTCATTTGTAAAAAAAGGTCCGGTCCGCTAACGATCTTGCAGATGAGACATTTGATGTAATCTTCATTACTTTTTACACTAAAGGAGCGTTTTGACCCGCTCCTTTAGTGTATCCACACAGTTCAAGAGGATTCTAGTCTTGCTTCTGCTTGGAAGAACACGAGAGGAGGTGTCGTTAAATAAGGGTTAGCTCACGGGAATTCTGCTGTGGGTGGTTTCCAATCTGCTCATCTCCTTCGTTTCCTATCATCACCCTTCCACCAAGGCCTCTTCTGACCAGAACGTGCAGTTCTGCTACGTTCACTGCGGCACCGTCCCCCAAGCCCGCTGGGCCAGAGGGGCTTGGAGGGGGAGGTGGCAGTAGGGCTTGTGCATCTATCCTCACAGGAAGAGTGTCAGGAGACATGTGCAATGAGTCTGACGCGAGTCTGGATGTCTTGGCGACAGAGGGGACACGTTTCTAATTGTAAGGCACACTGCATACACATACCCCTGAAAAAAAGAACAAGCACAGATAACGATGGGGAAAAAGGGACATCTGCAATTATTCGATCAATGTTAGGTCAATTTTGAGGTTAGGTCAAACCTTTTTTTCCAATAGCAAATAATGGAAAGAGAATTGTACCTGTTCAGGCATTTTTTTCCTCATTATTTTCACACAAATAAAAAAGATAAATGGTAAAAATAACAAAGCCAAAGGAAAAAAAAAACTACACATTCTTTTCTACCAGCTGAACAGAGTCACGCAAGGTATGCTGTGGTCTCATGTAATGATATGCACGATGGAGGTTTGAATTCTCAAAAGTATGGTGGAGTTTAGAAAAATGCATATGCGTACCCATGTCCACAGGGCCTCAACTCTGTGTCAGCCATGATGTCGCAGCACAGTGTGCAGCAGTTGTCACGGATGCTAACTTGTTTCAGTAAAGCCAGACGCCGATGTCTAGATAAAACACAAGCACAGAAAATGCTGTTTGTGCCAACTGACGATTGCTCACACCAATACAACTGCAGCAGATTGGTGTAATGAACAACCACACTCCAAAAGGTATTTATTTATTTACATTAAAACATTTTGGGAAGGTGTGTGGTGTTCACAGATTGTGCAAAAGTGCATGGAAATGCTTTTTCACTGTCTCACTGATATCCAGGTGGCAGCATGGTTTTAAAACAAAATTCATCACTGAATAGGGATGAGAATAAATACACTCCGGGCAAAATGTTAGGGATATTTGGCTTTCAGGTAAAATTTCAGGTCGAGGCTAAAATGCATTCAAACCTTTACAGGTGAACTTGATGTGACCTTTTAAGCTTTTGAATGCACATGTGCACCTGTTAAATGTTTCAGTACGTTTTGCACAAGTTGTTGGGGAGGAGCTATGCATCAACCACTGTTGTCACCAGATGAGGTTTTGGTGATGGCGGTGTTAAAGTGTAGGCAGTCAGTACAGAACTGCCCTACACTGTGAATGGTACGGTGACAAACCCACAGTACCTGAATAACATTATTAATTCAGTGATTGTGCCCCTAGATGAACAACACGGGCCTAATATCATCTTGAGGACAACGGTGCAGCTCATCGAGGTTGCATCCTCAGGGAACGGCTCTTGGAGACTGGTGTACCTCAAATGGAATGGCCTGCACTTTCTCCAGACTTGAATCCGATTGAAAACCAGCTGAGTTGACGTGTAAAGGCTCGAAACTCTGCACCCTAGAACCACAATGATCTGAGGGCTGCCCTTCAAGAAGAGTGGGATGCCATTCCTCAGCAGTCAATAAGTCGACTTGTGAACAGCATGAGACCTCATTCTCAAGCTGTAATTGGTGCTCAAGGGCACATGATGAGTTGTTGAGACATTGACACATTTTGTTGTGGTGTACCCACCATAGTTGTACCTTTTTTTTTCATTGAATTGTTTTGAGATGAGGCATCCTTCTACTTAAATCTCCTACTTATGTGTGTGTGAACTTCTTTACATTTTCCATATATATCACCTGGAAGCCAAATATCCCAAACTTTTTGTGAGCAGTGTATATTGTGTTTGTGTTACAACCCTGTATTTCTATCATGTTTATGTTGTTACTTTGTGGGGGGAAAAAAAAAATACAGCCGGCTTCAAGTTACCTCGGTAGGATAATCTTTTCACTTGGTAGCAGCGAAGCAAAGTCGTTAAAGGTGCTGAACTTGACTGAGGGCGGGTGGCGGAAAGGTTTGGCACCAAAGTTAAATTCACACTGCTGGTATGACATGAAACTGGCTGCCGCAAAGAAGCCGGACCTGAGATTTAAGAAAACAAACAAAAGAAAAAAAACAGAGGAAATGTCACTTGTGAGAACTAAGAAAACGGGAAAAAGAAATGAAATATAAACTCACGTGGCGGAGGAGAAGACCTGTTTCTCTGGTGGCAGCTGATGCCCATTCAGATAGAAGATCATCTGCTTTTTGCTGAGGTCCAGCAGGAAGCCGATTGCATCTCCTACAAAAAGAGACCATCATCAGAGCACTATCGGGTCGAAGAAAACCTAGTCTAACTAATCTTGATGTTTTAGCAGAATGTGCGTGCCGACTTACACAACAACAAAAATCTCAAAACATGTTGTTGTCAGTCATTTCAAAATGCATACCCTCCTTCCAGCAGGGGTGAGCGTGAGGTTTACTGCGAGCATTGTACCAGATGAGCTGCCTGCAGCCATCATATGCGCACGAGTATTCATCATCGCCAATCCCGTAACCCTCCTGCAACACACGATGGCACATGTAAAAACATTTGCGGAAACAGATAGAATGAGAAAATGGTGGGATAGCCGGGAAACAGAAGGATTACATGGTTGAGGAACTTGCTGTCCTTGGTGGCCCATCCGATCTGCATCACACCTGATGTAATGACGATCACCTCATAGTACCACACACCTGAATCCACGCAAAACGTACAGCGCACACTCTCGAAGGAGGACGCATCACACCGGGCCTGTGGTCGGGGTGTGGGGGTGTGTGTGGTGGAGGGGGGAGAAAAAAAATAATGTGAGACTTGTGCCGAATTTATTTTAAGACGTGGAATTTCATAATCAATTACACATCGGATGTGGAAAGATCTCCAATTTTTGTAAAAATTATTATTTATTAGGGCACAACTGATATGGATTTTTTTTAGGCTGATGCCAAGTCAGATATGAGGCAGAATAAAATTCTGATAACCAATTAAACAGCCTTTTAAATAAACAAAAAATGTAAAGAATAATTTTTTTCGTCCATTACTGCTGACAAAAGAGATATGAATTAAAGGCAGAACATTTGACTGTTTTACAATACTACCTACAGCAGTTCTTTAATTTTGCAACAGTGGAAAAGAATCAGCAAAAAAAAGGGGGGTTCAATATCATTATCTTTGTCTTATGCCGTAATGTGTTTTAAAAAATCACAGATAGCTAGATCTCACTCTCTCTCTCTTTCAAATTAGATTTCATTTTATTTTTTCAAAAGCGCTAACACTGATTAATGAGCGAGGCCCGAACATTTAGCTGTATGAAACACCTATTGGTGGAAATTTAATTTTGTGTTTCCTTTAGCATGTATTTGGCATCTACATGATTATACACAATTGAGGCTAATTTCAGACCGGCTGACCTCTAATCCACTCGGGGAGATCTTGAGGTACTCGCTGACGTCATTGCTGTTGAGCATGGCGTTGATATGGGTGAGATTGACCTTCTCGTAAGTGAACTGACGCCCTTCTTTCAGGACTGGATGGGGAAAAGCAGCAGCATCCTCTTTAGTGAGTCACTCACACACAATCAACGGAATAGCTTGTCGAACACGCAGGCCAACTCACACAGGTTGTCTAAGCTCCACTGCGAGCAGAATCCAACCTGCCTCTTTAGATAGTTGGTGTGCTCAGCCCACAATTCCAACACAGCCAGTCTCTTGCTAATACAAGACTCGGATACTGTCAGCTTGTTCTCACCTGAGGGTGACAAAGACTTTTTTTTTTTTTTTTTTTTTTTTAAAGAACATCACTGCCTCATCAGTTTAACGAGTGAACTTACTGGTCTGAGAGAACTTCTCCAAGGCAATCAGAGCAAACAGCATGACAGTGGGGTGCGCCTCAGAGCTCTTGGGGTAAGAAACACATAAAATAAGTCGTTGTTCAATTGCATATTTCTATATTACCTCACCAAACTGCACATGAGCAATCTCAGTCACAACTTGATGTAAAGTGTGTTTTTCTCTCTTTATGGTTTTTTTAAAAACACGGCGACTTTCAAAACACTTCCATCAACTGAAAAAAATCTTTTTTTTGGTCTCAACTATGCTCACCATGCTCTCTAGAAGGTATTCGAGAGTTCCGGGGCTCAAGAGTCCAATACTGGCTGGTCCTTCGAAAGAAGGCACAAGATTAGTAAGAGGATTGGGTCAGTGTGACAAGACAAAACAAACATTCTAGGGTGTCAATTTACCAGCCAGTTTCTCAGCCAAACATCCGAGGACAGCTGTGGTGTTTCTGTGTTTGGCGGGAGTTAGAGCATCCTGTTGGGCCACGGCTGCACTCAGACTCAGCATGTCCGACAGTTTCTGGAGTGCGTCCTAAAGACAACAAGAGTTGCTTACTAAAAGATGGTGACTTGCCATAGGAAGGCCAAGTTAAATATGGCGTTTGGAAATTCTGCTTTAGTGATGTTTTGGCCCTTTTTTCATAGCAGTCATTCTGACATTGGAAACTGTACATAGTAGGCAGATATTGAGAACATGGATCGGCAAAGCCGAAAATTGGGCTTCATTTGTTTAGCTTTTCGAGAGGCAAAGTTGTAATTTTACATTGTTGTGTAAATGTATTATTCAGTTTTTTTTTGCCTCCTAAATTATTTGTAGTATTAAATGATAATTCACATTCAATTAGGACAGGGGAATGATTCTTCATGCGATAAAGGTATTGGATAATTATCCGTGTGACAAATAAGTGTATGTTATGGGAGTTTACAATAAAGCCTTTCGTGAATCTCTGGTTTCTGATTTATTAAAGAGATTGATGATGTATATTAGATGGACATAGAAATCTATTTAGAATCTTTACTAATTTAGTGAACCCAAATGTAATGGAAATTGATTTTTAAGCACTGAGCATTAATAGATTCCAGCATAGGGGTTGGGAACTCCGGTTCCTCGAGAGCCATATCCAGCCTGTTTTTCATGTCTCCCTCCTACAACACACCTGGTTCAATTGATCGTGATTGTTACAGGTCTCTATAGCCTCCTGACTACCAGGAAAAAAAAATGTTGTCCAATCACATTTATTTTGACATTCCCCAATCTATGTGAAGTAATTGGACTCCTCCAAAGAAATTTTTGAAATCCCACTACATTTTTTAAACAGGCTCAAATACACTTAAAACAACTCAAACAACACTTTAACGTGTTCATAAGAGTCTTATAATTAAAATGCCAACAGCATTTCAAGACAAAATGTGGTCGAGAAAAAGTATTACTTTTCCTCTTCCCATAAAAAGTGCTTGCACTGAGGGAAGCCATTTTCTTACTTTTTCTAAACCCTACAAATTTGGTATCATTGGAAAGCACTGAATGTCCTCTTTAGAGTAACAAAAGGAGTTAATGCGATTGGAGGCACTGGGTGGGAGATATTTAGGTTCACAAATGTCCTCCACAGAGGACAAATTTGAACTACTGGTAGTCAGGAGGATAGAGTTTGCTGATGAGCTCATCGTTTGCATTAGGTGTGGTGAAGGAGAGAGAGCGATCTAAAACGGGCAGGATATGGCTCACGAGGAACCGGAGTTCCCTCTCCCTGTTTTAGCAGCCAAACGAAGCACACCGCACCCAGTATATGAAATGTCTTCATTCGAAGGGACACGCTGTCAATGAGCTGGATGAACATAATCCCATCCAAGGGCAACAATCACAATCATACAGGCAGGCCTTGAGACAGGATAAAATGTTAGGACCAGGAATAATCCCAATCTTAATGACGCATCAATTTCTTGAATCGGCTACTTTTGTGCCACAGCATTCAGGTGTCGTATTTGTCCTTAAGACAACTAACCTAATATTAACGTGTTCCCTTCAGTAGCTCGACCAAATAACATTTGAAAAGTAAATTAACTGTGGTTGAAACAAGTTTTACTTGGAGCCAACACAAGTATTAAAATGACGGCAGCTAGAGCTATTTCCCATTAACTGTTTAAGCAGGGGCAGTATAGGGAAGCTGATCGCATCTTACAACGTCATTTCCTCAGTGAATGTATGTCTTTTTGAAATCGTAAGCAAAAGGAAACGTACCAGTTTAATTTTCCCTTTAAGGGTAAACGCTTAGAATAAATTTACGACACGTTTCACCTTAGTGGGCAAGGGGCACTCATCCAATAGCAAGGTGATGACTGCAGGGCCAAGTGGGTCGTCTAATGGTATCACTCGAATCAGAGACTGGACAACTTCTAGCCAGCCGTCATCTAAGAGAGAAGAAAGACAAGATGCAGGTTCAGCTTCTCCTCCGATGCATCTTAGTTAACGTGCTCCTAATGGTGTAGTAGATAACGGTCTGCTTTACTGAAGGTTTGCACATCCCAAAACAGGTTGTCCTCTCCTCCACTTTCCATGGGGAAAACCTACAGAGCTACCCTGTACCTATACGGCAGTCTCCACCCCTTGGGTTTTATATACTTATTTAACCGTGTAAGGCAATTGACCAGTTTCTCATTTACAATGCCGACCCAACTGCAGACAACAGAACAATGTAAAATATAAAACGCAGCACAAAAAAGTACAACTAAAGTACATAGAACAAAGTGTACTACAGTGTTCCCTGACTTTTCACCGGTGATACGTTACAAGAGCCGCGCAGTGAATTTCTGCAAAGAACAGGTCGACTTTTAAATGTTTATTCAAAGCACTTATTACATTTTATAAATGTTACATTTAAAATGCAAAATGTAGTATAAAAGGCGAGCTGCAGGCTGCATTTAATAATTAACTCGAGCGGAGCATACACTGCACCCAGCACCGGACGAGAACAGTGGAATGTTGGTCAATAACTAGGTGAAATGTTTTCTTTTGATCCATAATTGGCTTAACCAAATGATTGATTTGAGTCTGTGTGCGTGTCATTAATATTATATAGTTTGGTGTTAGTGCACAGTGCACCCTACTCATCCTATGAGTTTTGCTTTCACAAAAAAAAAATAAAATAAAATAAAAAAATTCAATAAATAAAAATAAAAAGCGGGTCACCTTTAACCTACGTTAGCGCATGACCTGCATTACCGGGAGTTGTTCTCGGTCACCAGTCTGCATTTGGAGCTTTCGATCTGAGCTGTTGCTATATATCTTTTTCTTATGATTATTCTCAATCAAAATTCGTTTCATTTGGAATTCAGCTATGGCACTGGCAAAGAATGGGAAACTGGAGCGCCAGGAGAAGCATTTTAAATCGGTACACGTACATACGATAGTTTCTGCACTGAACATGCTGCAAAAGTGTGTCCCATGCCTTCGCGTCATGTCTCTTCTAAGGTAGGCAGTGATTTCCTTTTTCATAAAGTCTTGTATCTACTTTATTTTTCTGTTTTGTTCATGTTAGGGGCCACTATGGCAGTTGCTCATCATGGCATGCGTGTGTACGTGCGTGTGCATGGGTGCACGCGTGGGTGTGCGCATGCATGTGCTGTAACGGGTCGAACGCAGGAGGTCGGTTGCTTGAATAATAGTTTTCAGTCAAAAAAGGTTGGGCATCCTTGCTCTAGGCGCTCCATCTTGGGGCACAGTGCGCCAGCCAGTACAGATATAAACAGGTCAAGCACCAGGTGCTGACTGGTTTATAACAAAGGCTGCACTTGAAAATGAATGAGGGGAGCGTGCTGTGCCTCTCCAAACACACAAACTCTCAGGGGACTGCACACGAGTCAGTGAATTTCCGAACGACCCTAATGTAAATGGTCTCGGTTTTGAAACAAATCAAATAAAAAACAAATATCCGCTTAGAAAAAAAAAAGATTTTAAAATAAATGAAAATTATGGTTGAGTGCCGTTGGCAGATGTCTGCATGCTGCTGAGTGCCACTCCCTTGCATTACTGCAGACAGAAACAATAAGTCGACAGGCTTTGAAGGAAAACAATTAACATCCTTGGTTTCAAAATAAAACTGAAGTGCATTGCCAAGTGGTCTATGAATATTGCAACACATCACGTTAGACAGGCAGTAGACCATAAGGACATGACAGTAAACCAGAGGCGTGTCGAGCCCATTTTAGGGGTGCTGAATCTGTTACAGCGTCCTGATCCCTCAGTTTTCAGCAAAGATCCCTTCGTTTTTTTCAAACTAGTAAATCGTATCTCACAATGTACATCAGTAATCATGCCCAAACATTACAAAATGAACCTACAGCCGTTGCTTTCTGTAGACACACAAGTCAATATGACATTCAATAATCAACAAAACTAGGAACCTAGGTTGAAATGTGTTCTGCTTTCACTTCTACTTTCAAATTTAGTGTCAATTTAGGGTATAAAAGGTGTCAGTGACATCTTAACTCACAAAACGTGCGTTACAAGAAAAATCTTCATTCTTTCTCTTTGTATGATTTATTGAAGACCAATAACTGTTTTTGACACATGTATGGAAAAAAAAGTCCAAATGTAGATTGTCTTACCCGTCTCTGCCATCTCGTGTAAAGTGATCATGGAATACGGTGGTTCTTGATCACTGGTGGAAACAAAAGAAAAATCAGTTTCATGAACGTGAAAGTAGTCTAGTCTAATATGTGGATTCCTAGAGGTGAACGACACGAAAATCATTTGGTTTAATTACATGGGAAAACAGTTTTCCGACAAATGCTTAAAAATGTTACCTATTTAATGGCAGAAAGACAGCAATTGCTTGTCTCTGACTGTTGCACTTGAGAATGGTCTGCAAATTCTGACTGCCACTTGTTCAAGTTATAACTTTTCTTTGAATTTTCAAACTGCGTCCATGTAAAAATGGAAAAGATAAAATCATCTCGAGGTGCAACGATTTATCGACATATCTTTAGAATTTCAGTCTCTCAACAGTAAACATTCTTAGATTTCTATGGTGCTCCATCTAAGCAGACTTTGTGATCTTTGTGTTGAGTCAAGATAAAACATTTGCAAACATCTGCCTTGCTTGTGGAGGCTCTCAGTCGTACAGGAAAGTTCCATCGTAGAAAGGGTTCTGTCAGTCGTCATCTGTACCTGTGGGGTTTTTTTTGTTGTCGTTTTTTACCCACAGGTACAGATGACGACTGACGGAACCCTTTCTACGAAACATCTGCCCTCACATTGGAAAACATAGATCAACATTTTTGCATATTTTCTGGCATGTTAAGGGCAAACCATGAACTGAATCACATTTTCTGTTTTGTCAATTTGAAGTTAGTCCTGTTTTTGATAATAAAGGGATGGAAATGAAATTGTTTTAATTTTAAAAATCAACTTGATTAAATAATTTGTAACATAATCGACAGATTAATCGATTATTAGAATAATCTGTAGTTGCAGCTCTAAACTCTAAGCATGCTTTTATGGGCCTCGTTTGTCACACTAGAACACTAAATAGTTGTAATAAAATTGGAAGCATAAAATTACAAATATAAGATTACTGGCCATATAGTGTGGCTAATGGCTTGCGGGATAAGAATAACTCCCTTTGACAAGGAAGACAACAAGTACATGAGACTGTTGTAATCTATGTTGGAACTCTCACAGTTCAAACCTGCCACAATAGCGATGATACTAATCAGTTACAACTTAACAAAATGGTGAGACCTTTATCTCCGGCGATAGCGAATCACAAGGGAAGTCAGCTACCTGTGTGCAGTGTACACACTTAGTCATATCAAAACCTTTACAAACCTTTGTGAAATCACAAATTTAGATTTATCTAGTTCAAATAAATGCATGGTGAAGATTTTTTTTCTTGGAGAAAACGCTGACCACAGATTATGCTCTCACATTATAGGCCCATTTTAGTCTACGCTTCTTCAAATGTAATGTCTTTAATTAAATATTGTCAATAAGGGCATGACACAACTTACTTACTTGTCTACAAGGGTCCTGATGACAGCCAGCGTGTCCAGCACCAGGCTATCCACGTTTTGCTTCTTCCGCCGTGGCTCGTGGGGGCCGCGCCCCCTGCGTGGGGGTCTGACCGGGTCCCTTGGGCGACTACTACGAGACTCTCCCGCTTCGACAGCTACGCCCGTACCATGGTCCACGCGCCTGGCTTGTCCTCGGGATCCTCTCGATGTCCCGTGGTGATGGTCCTCTACATCGCTATCCTCCCGACACACACAGCTATTACCCATGGTTCCAGGACCAGCAAGCACAAAGGCGAGGGTCTCCCACGGGGAAGAAAAGGTGTTTGTGGAGAAAAGGAATAGCAGAACCTGTGCAAGGCTCCTGCAGGCACAGTAACTGATCCAGGTAGCTACTATCATATCATTTGATGAGCTGGGTTATGGGGGGTTCTTGTCCCAAAGGGCAGGTTTGGGTTGGACCGAATGATCATCGTGACTCTCGGCGGGGAAGTGGAGAGATGTTTAACAACACACAACTGGGTTAGTAGACCAAGAGGGGACAGGTGATGTGATGAAGTCTTTAATCATCATAACCATCACAAGGTTCTGTACTAGAGGTCCTCCTGATTTCACCCAACTTTGGAAAGCTAAGACAGGGGAAAAAACATTAGGGCATGACCTACAAAAATGTAATACAGGTGTTGTACGCACTCAATGTCACTCTGTAAAAATCTACAGTGAAAACCACAACGCCATTTATTTTCTCCTGATTCACACAAGTCTACTCAATTTTCAACAGGGCATTAGTTCCAGTGACTCGGACAGAATAATAATTATGGAACTAAAATGCTATCGGCGTTGTTGACAAAACATCCCAAAACTGTTAGCGTGCTAGCTTGTTAGCCAACTAGTAAGCAACAGTTATAAGCAATGGCAGCTCTAAATAAAACCACGAGTCTAAAAAGTCGTAACTATATCGTCGCTTGTGACTTGAATTTCATTCACGTACACACTTACATCTCAGTCAATTTCTAAATACTGCAGCATCTGAAGAGAGCCACGCCAGAAAGTAGCCAAATAGGATTCTAGCGACAATTTAGGCTGTCGCTAACCAGCTGCTAAGACGATAGCTTGGCTCACCATGACTTTCAAACTGATCAAGTTAGGAAACACGACTTGCAATGAACTAGGCGTAGTGCATCTGCAGTCAAGGTAATATAAGAGTAGATTTACCCAACGAGCGCGTATTCCGCAACACACCTTTGTCGATGGCCAATAGCTTAATGTGTCGTGCACATTGAGAAGAGGCTACACGGAATCGCTGCCTGCAAGATCCGTGCTAAATTCCGTAGCGCAGGCAGCTAGCAGCAGACCGAAATCTCACCGTCATCAACCGGGATGCAGACGAGGATTCCGTAGCTTTCTCTATAATAAATACAAACACAACGTAAAATGACAAAACTTAAAAATTGTGAAAAATACATCCCATTTCTCTGCTCAATATCTGCAGTATTTTGTTGACTATAAAGGGAAATTATGTATTATATATTGAAAGTATTATATCCTAAATCAATATACTATGCAATATAATTAGAGAAATGTGACGGACCCTATCAGAAAGTGACGGACCAGGAGGGAACCTTAAGGCAGACCGCGGGCTGCACCGTAATGTGATTTTGAAATTCAGCAGCCCCGTCCCCCTACAATTCATAACAGATACAATGAAACGTGAGAAAACAGCAAGACTTGAATAAACATGGGGAAATGGAGAAGATCCCACCGCCCACTACATTTCGGCTGGACAGGGCTGCCGTGGCCACCAGGAATTGAACAACATGAGGAACCTGCTGCAGTGGGTGATTGGTCGGATGTACACTAACCTCCCTCAGTGACACATTCAGTGGCAGGCTACTGCGTAAAGCCAATGGAATCAAGACCCTGACCCCTTTGTTCTGGAAAACGTCATTAAAGTGTAGAACCACAAGACTCAAAAATAGCTTCTACCAACAAGCTATGAAATGCATCTGCCCCCCCAACACGCATACATTTTTTTTTTTAACCACACTCATCTTCATGGTCACATCAGTGCTGTAGCCTATTCCAACAGAGGTCAGGTCGTCATTGGGAACAGACAACCCGTCCCACTACCATTCACATAATTGAGGGGGAAATGACCCAAATCAAGACCGTGTGAAACAAACTTATGTATTTTATCACATCTCAGACTTTGATCACACACCGTATTTTTATTTTATTCCAAACATTTGTACTTGTTCACAAGCTCAATGTTTCAAGGAAATTAATAGCTATAATTAATCAACAGAATGTGATACATGTATTTGCAAGCATTGGACTCTGATCAGATCACATATAAATTTCCAGAAAGAGGTGCTGCCACATAATGTTCCCCTCACTTCTAATAGGATCAAGAATTTCACAGTGAATTAAGTATTTAGAACCACAATTATCACATCAGTATTCAGATAGTGTGTTGTAAATTGGGACAGTCATACACTCTGCTGCGGTCAAGGGTCGTGTTGAAGCAATTGTCACGGTACATCCCACTCTTGGCAAGGTGTTTGGTGAATTTCTGTGATTTTGGGTGGAATGTACAGGGTGTAGTTTCAACAGTGGGAGGATACAGGCCATAGTCACCAGAAGTATCAAGACCCTGACCCCTTTGTTCTGGAAAACGTCATTAAAGTGTAGAACCACAAGACTCAAAAATAGCTTCTACCAACAAGCTATGAAATGCATCTGCCCCCCCAACACGCATACATTTTTTTTTTTAACCACACTCATCTTCATGGTCACATCAGTGCTGTAGCCTATTCCAACAGAGGTCAGGTCGTCATTGGGAACAGACAACCCGTCCCACTACCATTCACATAATTGAGGGGGAAATGACCCAAATCAAGACCGTGTGAAACAAACTTATGTATTTTATCACATCTCAGACTTTGATCACACACCGTATTTTTATTTTATTCCAAACATTTGTACTTGTTCACAAGCTCAATGTTTCAAGGAAATTAATAGCTATAATTAATCAACAGAATGTGATACATGTATTTGCAAGCATTGGACTCTGATCAGATCACATATAAATTTCCAGAAAGAGGTGCTGCCACATAATGTTCCCCTCACTTCTAATAGGATCAAGAATTTCACAGTGAATTAAGTATTTAGAACCACAATTATCACATCAGTATTCAGATAGTGTGTTGTAAATTGGGACAGTCATACACTCTGCTGCGGTCAAGGGTCGTGTTGAAGCAATTGTCACGGTACATCCCACTCTTGGCAAGGTGTTTGGTGAATTTCTGTGATTTTGGGTGGAATGTACAGGGTGTAGTTTCAACAGTGGGAGGATACAGGCCATAGTCACCAGAAGTGGTCCTGTATAGGGGGTTCTGAGCTTTGGACCATCGCGATTGACTTGCACCTCTGAAAGATGGTGTGGCAGTGCAGGTGAAAACTGGATTTCCAAGGTTGATGCATGTTTGTGTGTTTTCTGCCTGCTCTTCAACTGGGGTTGACATCACTGAAGCGCCTGCTGAGGAAAAAAAAAAACAACTTTTGTTAAAATTTAATAATCACACACAATTTTGACAATTTGATGTAGTTCTGCTCATACCTCGCTGTTGGTAAAATTATGTCAATATGGAATACGAACCACAGAAATGTTTACTGTCACGTGAAAGAAATATCATGTTTTTATTTGGACATTGTATGTATTATTTGGCTTTAATATGCTTATTTACTTTAGCCAACAAACCACAATCCAAAAATATTTGTGAGGCTACTTGCTTTTTGCTACACCTCTTGTGTACATGGACGATTTCTTCAAGCTCTTTAGTGTTATCAATTGTCTTGTCTTTGAATATATTAAAATGTTGACACTGAGATAGCTGTATGTTCTCTTAAACGTAGCTACGTACTTCAAAAATACTTACAATACAATAATACTTAAATAATTGTAATGTTAATAATAGTAAATTAATCTAAAATGCGATTACAATATTCCGATATTTGAACAGTAGTAATCAAGTGAAACATTATTGGGGAGTTAGTCGGTTTAGTTGCTACCATAATCAACGAAAAAAAACATGGTGAACGTTACCCAAACGTACCGTCAAAGAGCGATTTGTCCAAATAAGACTTTTCTTTCTTTGGTTGTTCGCAATCTTCTTTAGTTTCCATGGCGACCATTAAACACCGGCGTTGCCTTTAGGTGGGGCAAATTGAGGGCTCGGAGATGTTTAAGATAATACAGTTGCATTAACCAAACTTTCGAATGTGTTTGTAATATTGGAAACGTTTCAGCGTTTTAATCAACATTTGTTCTTAAACGATATTTACGTCATTTTCGTCATCCCTAAGCGTCGGGGTATGACGTTTAATAAATGCGCCATTCGCAAAACTCGGACAACTAATACACGTTTCAATTTCGAACTTTTGTATTTATTCTCTACGTGACACACAAGAATATATAATACAGATTTTTCGTAGGTGCGGTTTTGTGACGTGGAAAGAAAGTCTTGTCTTGAGTATGGACAGTGAAATTCAACGAGACGGTAGAGTTTTGGATCTTACCGATGACGCTTGGAGAGAAGACAAATTGCCCTATGAAGACGTCACAATCCCGCTGGTAAATCGGCGTTTGCATTATGACACCAATGTGTTAGGCAGTGTCTGTTAAGTATCCAATTTTCCCAAACAGATATTTCATTTTTAAGCATTAGATGGGTCTTATCGGAAAAAACACCTCCAGTATTACGATACGTTGTGTTACAATAAAATGATTGCAACAATGCAGATTATCATCCATGAAGTCAGTCACAGTGCAGCAGTAAACTTGCTGTGTTAAATTGTGTCCTTTCACTGAATGTGGACCTTTACTTGATGTAACCTAATGTTACAGTCCAGCAACAGAGTACCCAAACCTGTCAGTCTGACACAGAGACAACCCATCTTTTGTCGGTTTAAAATCTTGCATCATGCATGTGTTGGGATTGTGAAAAGAACGACTAGCCCGGAGGGAGCCCACACAATCGCCAACAGTAATTTGATTAGAATAATCTCATCATGTTGTATTTGCTGCATTTCAGAGTGAACTCCCTGAGGCTGAACAGGACAATGGTGGATCCACAGAGTCCGTGAAGGAACAAGAAATGAAGTGGACAGACCTTTCCCTGCAGAGCCTTCATGAAAACACTCCAAACACTGGGAGTTGAATCACTGCTGGCATAGCACTGTAGAACACCTGCTACGTTCACAGATTTGCTTTGTTGGGCTGTTAGTCCACTATCTTGTGGCTTCATGAATATTATCCCATGATTACCTGCTGCAGGTTTCTAGCGTTCCTACTAAAGAGCAGTCCTTCAAAAACTTTGCGTCAGCACTTACATTGTCACATTCTGCTTTAATTAACTTGTTAAAAATCTGCTCTGAATCCTTTTACAATGTTTTAGACCAGCTCCATGCATTGTCACATTCTGCTTTAATTGACTTGTTCAAATCTGCATGCAATCTTTTCACAATGTTTTAGACCAGCTCCATGCAATTCAAGAGTATAGATAAGCATGTAAACAAATGTTATATGTTTATGTGTCCATGTGTCGTGTCTTTGAAATTATTAAAACCTTACACGTCCATTGCAATCGTGTTTGTATTCTGACTACTGCTCCATTGTCACTGAATCAATGCCTTGTCTGCTGCAAGCTTGCCAATGTGGTCAGTTGGTCCCCTCCCTTGGAGAACTGAAGGGTATTTGTAGGAGCCTCCAAGACGATCCCAGAGAGTAAAGTACTGTCCATAGTTATAGTTGAAATAGAGGTGATGATCCACGTGGTGGGCAGCACCATTGATAATGCTTATTAAGGGGCCGGGAATGCGGTAGTCGCCGTCGTGAATGGAGATGGTCCAGATATTAACGAAGATGAAGAGAGATAAGTAGACAACCTGTAATACCCCACATACCAAAAATATTGTATACCTTAATCGAGCCATTATGGAATGCAATACATTAAATGTGGATTATCATTGTAGATGATCACCTTGTGAAGTGGGAAGATGAAAGGGTAGACATGATAGGGTAAGCTCTGCAGGAAGCCGTCAAGTGGGTGGAAGGCGTGGCTTGCAAATGGTGTGGGGATCTTGAATAAATGATGCTGCTTATGTAAGTACTGAGGGGAGTAGAAAAGACTAGTACATATTAGGAAAATGTTGTATGGTCCGAATTACCAAGGTGGAACGTTTTGACCATACTGATTCTCTCAAGCTTTGCCAAAGTTCACTCACTTTGTAACTTCATGTAACCAAAGAACAAGTCAACAAAACCAAATGTCATATTTCGCTACATTAAATTATGCTTGTGGATTTGGTCATTGGTCCAGATCATTTCATTCTCAGGGCTTTGATTTTATTGCAGCTGGAATGCTCTGTCTTAGAAACATCTACCTTAGGTTACAACCATGGAGATTAAAACTATGCAACTAAAACAATTGTTATTCAAATTTGTTAGAATATGGATGAATATTTTTAATTTATTGACAAGTTATTCGTTTGTCCAATTATCAACCAATCATGTTACTCTTGACACCTAAAACAAAAATAATGCATTGAAGTGCTTGAACTCACCTTATAGATGCTCTTGTGATGCATGGAGCGGTGTATCCAGTAGATACACATGTCCGTGAAGAACAAGAATCCAGCAACGCTCAGGAACACCCCCGGCCAGCCTAACCAAACAAAGTACTAAAGTTTGTCTTATCTTGCATTTTAATGGTATTAGAATGATTGCACCTCTTTAGTAAAACGGCCCTCACCCCGAGAAGACTGGTTGATGTCATCAAAGAGTTTGCTGTGTCCTCTGATCTCCAAGAAGAAAATTAGCACTGTGGGAAAACTCATCCAGAAGAGGGAGGTGATTGCGAGTTGAATCTCTTGGCTTACTTGGTTCTATCATTGAATACAAATTAAAATACTGTACATAACTTTAACAAAGAAGATCTAACAGTACAAGAGTATCAAAACTGCATTTACAAAGATAATGCTCATTTTGATTGACATTTATTGGGATTGTTGTGGTGTAGAAGTGCACTTAATTGTTCTGAAATATCTTTAGAATATTTCAAAATAGCTCACAGTGAGGCGATGCAATTTTACCAAGTATATTGCGGTTTACAGTCTTTATATAGCCCAAACTGGCCTTGTAATTTAGTTATTAAAAAACAACAACAACAAAAAACAACAACTTAGGAAGCAATTCTGAATTTCTTCAGCATGCAGCAATGAGTTTCGATGTGTAGGTCCATCATGACATTCTTGCTGAAAGGATTCAATAACCCACCTCAATGAACAATGGATGTTTCATGAGCCTGTGGTCAAAGACGCAGTAGAAATTTAGTGCGCCAAAGATTATGTAAACCGTTTGGGCTCCGAGGTTGGTCAACAGGCTCAGGCTGATGAGTTGGCGCAGAGCCCCGTCCTCGGGCCATGACGCTGGGTAAACATACGGAGTCAGGAAATAACGGTCTGCAATTTTTAGCACGTGATCCATGCCACTGTCTCTCTGTGGAGAAGTAATAATACTATTATCTTGTATGACAAAGCTAATTAGATCATGCAAACATGGTTAGCATACACAGCACTTATGCACAACAATCTAGTGCAAGGTTATTTCTGAGGTTGCAGTTTGCATTGGTGGACAATTTATGAGACTTATATTCTTTAACATTTTAACTACACCGACTCAACATTTAAATCCAAAGCCTTTCGAGACAGACATGCAAACCACTAATACACAATGCTGCCCAAGTTCAATGAATGACACAAAATATTAGCAACAGCTGTTATTCAATGAAACTGGACAATCTTGTACATAAATTGCAGGGCTGAATATTTGACACCGTGGAAATCATTATAATGCAAAATAGTTTTACTTAATGCACAGGTGTGCCATTTTCAGCTTTAGATACAGACTCATAAATCCATATCAACACATTCGCTGAACTAACCTGCTTTGGGAGTGAGGCCGGTTCTGAAAAGATTCCTCAAAAACTGACAAGTCCTTCCCCACCTTTTAACACAAGCTAAACAGCTACAATTCCTATTCTAAAATAACAGCGGCTGTATGAAGTAAAATGAGCCACACACTGTTGACAGTAAATGTCATTTCATGAATATCTATTTTGCTCACGTACGAAACTTCTAGCGAGACGAGCTAGCACTCTTGTTGCTTTATTTTCCCGCAGACATGTGGCACAAGAATGTTGGAAGCATTCACAGACGAGCTGAAAGAAGATCCCAACATCCTCAGCAAATAAATACATCTGCTCAGATGCATCTTTTAATATGTCTGATCTGACTGGCTCATATCTTCATGTAAATAATGGTTTAAAAAAGTGTTTTGTCCTAAAACAACTTACTCCAATTTCTTAACATTAGACCATTTGAAATACCTATGATGGCAGACTGTACAGTATGTTCCCATTCTGGAGCTGCAGGATCCTGTTTCATGAGAACCATTTGGCCTTTCACATAGACACACACTACGACAATTGTGGTGTGGTTTCGCTGGAAGTTATGATCCTACATATGGGGTAAGCATCATTGCTACTTGCAAATGTGACTAATCAAAGAAATGACTCGATTGATTGATGCCAGGTTGTTATCAGCGACTAAACTGCCAAATTTTACGTTGGCAGTCTGTGCAGAAGTTCTCATTTTCATGCTTTCCACTTGATCACTTGAGTGCTACTTGTTCAAATGATTCAACAGGGATCTTGTATTGCCTTGTTTTTGTCGACATACCATTCACAACAACTTCCTCCTCTACGTCGCTCTGGAGATACCGCTGGGGGAGGAACTTCTTTTGTCAAAATAGCTTCATCCTTGAAAGTCATTGCTGCCCATCAGCTGCACATTTACCTGTACGTTTGGTCAATTTGTTACTATTACTTTCTGTTTATTGCTTCTTCTTTCATTTATTGGCGGATTCTGTTTATTTCAAGGGCAAACCAATATTAGAAGGGGGACTTGGATTGGCTAGGGTTGCGCACATTTCCGCCACACACAGCTTGTAGGTCTCTCTCTGTGCGTCCCGGTCCTAAATGGGTCATGGTGTGGGACTGGTCCGTGAACCGGTGGTTGGGGACTGTTGTGGGAAAGGCGGCCTCCTCTTCCCCACGTGTTCGTTGAATTTCGGATGATGAGGATGTTGGTTAACCAAATAAAGGCTGGAGGCGATGAACAGTTCCTTCGAAGGGTTTTAATTTATTTTCTGCAGTTTACAAATCGATTCGGGCTCCTGAAGGGTCCAGATTTGAATCAGGAAGCATAGAAGAAACACATTCATGAGATTATATAGAGACAATATGATAATGAGAGGCGGTTAGGTACGCCTCTCATGCAAATCCCGGAAACAAAGAAAGTAACATGACATCTGACCCGGTGTGGCTGGAAGAAGGTGGGAGTGGTGAGGTGAGACCAAACGACCACTACCCACCATTTGGTGTGATGGCAAGTTCCAGAACCCCCGCTGTGCATACATCCTGAGATAAGAGGTCTTCCCAGGGGGGCTTAACAGCGATCAGGGACCGACCCAAGGTGCGGGGGGACAACAGAAGACACTTGGGGGCCATTAATCAACCAAGGAGGAAGAAGATAAACTTTAACACCACATACGTTGTTTTAAGTGTGCAAATAAATGTTCAGGAAAGAGACTGAGATCAATAGTACTCATAGCAAAGCGCAGTCCCTCAATAGCTGCAACACAGATACTTGAGATAACAGTTCCTCTTTTGATGTTGACATGTCCTCTGGAGGGGTCATAAAAGTAGTGGGGGTGAGGGGTTACCAAAGGTGATTGTAATCACAGTAAGCAGGAAATACCTTCAACAGCATTCTACATTGTTTCTTTCAAATCCAGCTAACAGAGAGGAATCATATCTTAACAGGACCTATGCTAGATGACTGGATGTCACCCTCTAGAGGCAGCATTCCACTATGACAGACATGCAGGCAGTGCAGTAGAGGGCGGTTTGTATGATTGATCTATGTTTCTGATTTTTGTGCTTTTCACACAGATATTTGAGCTTGCATGGGTTTTCTCTGAGTATTTTGGCTGCCCCAACTGAAAAAACATACATGATAGATCCATACGGGGTGAATGTGAATGGTCGTTAACTCGTTACTTGTTGGTTGGTTCACTGATTTTGTAATAAATCTCAAATCTGCATGGCAGAGCAGGTCGAGTTTAGCTAGGGCAGTGGAACAAGCGGATCTATGTGCTATGTCGTCTCTAATTGTGACAGAGAGAGGACTATAAGGTAGGAGTTTTAAGGGAAAAAGGGGAAAAGCACGATTTTGCCTGATCAAAGAAACCAATGATGGGTATATTAAAATATACTGCATTAACTCAACTCTGAACCAAACTCAACTGTGTTTATAGAGCACTTTTAGACAACCACCGCTGTATACAAAGTGCTGTACATGGAGCAAATATCATATATACAACAATAAACAATAAACTAATAACGAAGACAGTAGAAAGCACGAAAACAGTAGAAAGCAACATCTCAAGACAACTCTTACATATTCTAAGCAGGGCGTAACTCACAATGGATAGTTCCCTTTCGGTTTCCGGATGACTGTTCTAATGCTTTTGTTTTTTGCCAAAGTTGTTCCAGTTCCTTTCACTAAAAATTTAACTGAAGCATGCACAGCGTTGTCTGGTCTTAGTCTGGAAAACATTATTTTCGTCTGGAAAACATTATTTTCGTCGCTAAGGGAGTTCAAGTCAAGGTCATACCATAAGGTTCAAGTCGAGGTCACATCATAAGTTTCAAAGCGAGGTCACATTATAAGTTTCAAAGCGAGGTCACACTATAGTCAAAGCATATCTGTCCGCAATGTGTCGTGAAGCTAATAATGCAAATAGCTAAATAATGGCTTCAAAATATATTTGCATCGAGATTAGATTATCATCCGAATGTTTTGATTGATTCAATTGATTCAATTGGGCATTGCTTGTGTTTCATATGGACTTGATGGAGAGATGTTTTTACTACCACAACCTTTTTTTCGCTTGCCTAGGTAGCTGGCAAATGCCACCAGTTTCTAATTTTAATCTCCAAACCAGTGACTCATCAAAGCATTTTAGGGCCAGGAACGTTATTATTATTTTCATTATTATATAATCAAAAACTGTCAAAATGGTCTAAAAGCATGAGCTTGTAAGATTGTGCATATTTTAGATAAGTCGATCTGCCTATTGCCAGGAAGAATGGGTGCGTCAATCTTTAACGTTTCCCCGCATGATCATGGTCACTTCACGATGAGATGACGAAGCATGATTTGACAATACTGGCAAGAAGCGAGAAGCAAATCTGTGGCGAGTGCAAAACGGAAGGAAAGTTCTCGTCACAAGGGACAAAACACTGAAAAAACATTGTCTTTCGCGTTTCATCCGAAATGAAACAATTTCAAAGACTCCATTTCAAACGCAAGTAGAAAAATAATTCAAGGAGAATCATTTAGGATTCATTTTGGATGGGGCTTGAACGTTACGCGATTGATGCTGATTTGAAGTTGTGTCTGGGAAACAATTAGTCATGCTCCTCTTGATAAATCCCTCCCTTCTGTCGACATGTGAATGATTGCGTTATTTTCACACTGCACACCGTCCTAGAAGGCAGCGCCTCTGACTAAAGCAGCCTATTGATGTTTTGCTCACGTGCCCCTTGAGGCAGCTGTGTGCAAACTTGTAAGACCAAGTGCCGTGTGCAGCTCGGTGTTACTGTGCAATAAAAACATCATGAATCGTCGTTTGAAATACCCCTAATTAGAAAATATCGTTCTTTTTAACGCGATAAACAGATCTATCAGAATCAATATACTTAACGATATTACAAATACAAATTATAATATGAGTATGATCCTGGAAAACTGAATAAACCGTATGGCCATTCTCATTCCACATCAATTAATCAGACTTCATACAGTCATTCCCTTAATTGTTGATTTATCCCCCTACCCACGCTAATAATGAGTGGTTCTCTTTACAAATTAACAAATTATAATTTGAATGACCCCCAGGGAATAAATTATGTGATTACGTAATATTGTGGTCGCCTGAGTTGAATCTGTGCTCCCACTTCTGGCTGCACGTCGTAAAAAGAAAAAAAAGAGGTCGTGCGCACAAACTCTTTGTCGTCGTTTGTCACGAAAACATTTGCACACGGCCCGGCCGCTCACTGGAATCCTATAAAAGAGCAGCTTCTTCGTTTCTTCCCACAACGACTACTCAGACGAGCACCTGCCAGCTTCTCTTCAAGGACGCAAAAAGCAATCTACCAGCATTCAGCATGGACCCTTGTGACTGCTCCAAGAGTGAGTATAAAACAGCAATTGGGGGCACATTTCTAGTTTGTGAATCGCGACTCTGACCTTGTTAAGATTTCTTTTTTTGTGTGTGTATGTGCAGCTGGAACCTGCAAATGCGCTGGATCCTGTGCTTGTACCAACTGCTCTTGCACCACTTGCAAGAAGAGTGCGTGAAATCTTAACTTGAACTACCTTGAGGAAATGCTTAGTGGTTATATTTTAATGTCTGTCTTTCAATCTGAGTCTGTTATTGCTTTTACACGTGGTATTTTATTGTAACGGATAGCAATACAAAAGTTGAGAACACTAATGGATGTGATTACGAAGTCTGATGTAATTTTTATTTTATTTTCCTGTGATTTTATTCAGGCTGCTGCCCATGCTGCCCGTCCGGATGCACCAAATGTGCGTCAGGCTGCGTGTGCAAAGAGAAGACGTGTGACACAAGCTGTTGTCAGTGAGGCGCTTCTGACATCATCGGTCCTTTGATCGAGGGATGTAACCTTCATTTGATTCACTTAATTGCACCTGCAATGTCTATGCAGTCATGTACTTTGTATATGTTGTTCATTAATGAAATAAATGTTTTCTTTAATATGAATTCAGTTGGTGTACATCCTTTTGTACTGATACCGCCCCCCCACAATAAATAAATAAAATTACCTGTAGTTCTATAAATTGCATTAGCTGGTATTTTAGTTTGTGCCAAACATGACCTTAAAAGTACTTTAACAGAAGTGCATAGGCTTGGAAATAAAGTAGTTCAGCATTTGTTGTGCAAAGTCCTAATTTTTAGTTCCCTTTGAGGCGAAACAAAGTCATCAACATTGAAGTGATTTAATTTGTTAAAGTTAATCTATCAAGGTGATCATTTAGATTGAATCATACAATATTTATATAGCGCTTTCACAACAGCTTCAGATGTAACAGTGCTTTACAGAACAGTTAACATAAAATAAAACATAATCACACATAAGACAGTCATGCAATCTTAACCACTTTTCCTGCATACACTTTGTTGTTTGAAGCAGTTATAGATGAAAGATGAGAGAATCAAAGTGTCCTTACACCAGTGGATCATAACCAGTGTGGAGTAAGAAATGATCCAATTTCCCTTAATTGATCCAAACATTTACAAACGTATCTTTGTCCATTTATGGTAGGCAAGTACAGTGGCAGAATAAAAATGAAATGCTTTTCTATGTAATGGCAGAAGATATATGAATAATTAAATGACATTTTTGCAGCTGTGGTTAAAACACCCACCTAAAACTTCTGAGGCTGGTATTCAGATGTGGGCTCTTGCACTTCTGTGTGAAGTTTGCGTGTTCTCCCTGTGCTTTTCTGGGCATTTACCCCCGCATTCCAGGAAATAAATTGTTCTCAAACCTGAATGTGAGTGTGAGCACATTTGACAATAAAGTTGTATCCAATCCAATAATTATATTTTTAGAAAGTTTAAACATTTAACTTCAAAAGTCAAACCATGAACATAAAACTCAATTTCCTTCAGGGGATTTTTAATTGTTTTTAAACGCTAGTAATTAACATGTGTCTCCACTTTTTGTGACGTTTTTGTTTAGTGTAGTTTTTTTCCCTCAGGTATGTGTACCTTGGCTCATTAAAGATTGGGAAACTGCTGTACGGGCATCTGGAATGTAATGACTTCGATCGGAAGACTGAAAATGCTTGAATTAGGCCTGAAAACGATATGTGTGTAGGGCACTTAAAATCATCCAAACTTTATTAAAATGTAGCAAATGCAACGGAAACATTCAAATATCCGGAAATTGGCTAACTCCGGAACGTTTAGAATGTAAAAACTTTGGTTCCCCATAGGAAACATTACAGTGCCGCACACCGGAAGTGAAATAATACGTTATCTTTGTGTACCTTTGCTTTTGACAAAACGCCATCGCCTTGGCGCTTAGTCAATAGCGCATGATTTGCACAAAATATTTTATTTGGAAAGTAAACCAACATGCCGAAGGTGGTCTCGAGAAGTGTTGTGTGCTCGGACACGCGAGATCGAGAGGAATACGACGACGGGGAGAAGCCCCTCCATGTCTACTACTGCCTGTGCGGCCAGATGGTGCTGGTTCTGGACTGCCAGCTGGAGAAGCTCCCCATGAGGCCCCGAGACCGCGCCCGGGTGATCGACGTCGTCAAACACGCGCACAAATTCTGCAACGTGGAAGAGGACGAGAACGCGTACATCAAGAGAGACAAGGGCATCGAGAGGCAATACCGCAAAAAGTGCGGCAAGTGCGGCCTGCTGCTCTTCTACCAGCACCAGGAGAAGAACACCCAGGCCACTTTCGTCGTGGAAGGAGCGGTGGTCAAATTTGGACAGGGGATCGGTAACACCAGCGTGTACAGTCAAAAGCAGCCCGAGGCTCCCAAAAAGGTCCGCGTGATGATGACGAAGCGAACGAAAGATATGGGCAAGTTTAGCTCCGTCACCGTGTCCACCATCGACGAAGAGGAGGAGGAGATCGAGGCCAGAGAGGTGGCCGACTCCTATGCTCAAAACGCGAAAGTGATCGAAAAGCAGCTCGAGAGGAAGGGCATGAGCAAGAGGAGGCTGCAGGAGCTGGCCGAGCTCGAGGCTAAGAGGGCCAAAATGAAAGGAACTCTCATTGACAATCAATTCAAGTAGACGAGGCTTGATAAACGACGCGAACTTTCTGAAGTCATCCTTCATACAAAAGGACTTCTGCTGGACATTTTGTTGAAAGTGTTATTTTGTAGGGCTGCACAATGTGCATTAGTGTATACTGTGCATGGGTTTTCTATGTGTTGTTTTGTACTTTGACCAAATAAACTGTTTGGTGGTGTGAAGAAAATGCATTTGGGTGATAAAATGAGTTCAAATGGCACCCACACTGATGTTTTGCAATGAGTGTTTCAACCACAAATTGAAACTACATGCCTTCACACAGGATGGGAAAGCAGGGGTTTTCCACTTGATTTAAATATGAAACTCTTGATTGTAATTATGACTTTACTCCCTTGTTAGCGTAGGTGTTGATGACTATGACTGTCATAAACCGAGGATGCCAGTAGATAAATGTTAAGCACTTGACCGGATACAGTCTTCTAATAAAAATGAAGGTGGGGTTGGGCAATTTGCAAAGTGGCTTATGTTGAAACCATCAGTGACAGTTTGTCACACTGACCCTCAAGCATTGATGTGAATTTTGGAGCGTGACAATAGATATTGAATCAGAATACTGATTCAATATCTATATTTAACTGCAGCATACATGTTAAATATGAATTCAAAATGTTGTGCAAGTACCGAAATTGATAGCTCACTGAGGTCAGGAGTGTTTTTATACAGTCAAATAAAAACAGCTTATCTGGGTATATGGACTCTTGGACATGTTACAGTGATAATAAATACCTCAAATGGAAAAACACATTTGGAGAGATTTGATTTGACGAGTACTCAATTCAATTCCGAGTTTTATGAAAGTTGAGGGACCTTTGACCTGTAGTCCCTCCAGTCAGCCACAAGGAGGCCCACTTTGATGTGTCATTCCATGAAGACCATAATAGATCAGTTTGCTTGCATGGTTGTTAAATGTTTAGTTTCACTCAAAACATTTAGATTGAATATTTAGGACTTTTTATGAGAAATCGACACATAAAAGATGATGTGGTTTAATTTTACACTTGAAGGGTCAGCAGGGATTTGAGACCCAACGACTAAATTAGTCAAAAAATGTAACCTTTTTTTTCAAAGCAGAGATACAAGCAAACTTTTCTAGATTAATTTTTGCACTGATTCCGAATCCCCCTCCGTTTTTCTGCAGCACATTAGCTTTTCATAACAACAAAAATAATAATATGACAATAATATTAGATGTAATATATGAGATGCAAGTCAAGCTTTCCACATTTCTATGGGTGCTGGAGGTTGGGTACATCCTGTATTAAGTCTCAGATGATGATGGTGGTTATTAGTTGTCTCTTGTATCTTATTCTTATCTCACACAGGTGCAAGATAGTGTTTCCCACTATCGATATTGGAAAGTAAAAACAACAAATGTTTTAAATATACAGTATTTGGCGTTTTATCCTTGCAACATGGGTAGTTTTCTAGGTCAGATATTATTTTAAGAATACTGTATAAAGTGCAAAGAGCAGCCAGTTATATCTGGTCACAGACTGGCTACGATACATGTGGCCCCCATGTCTCATCAGAAATGTGACTTATTAGAGTGTTCTTCGGACCACACTTACATTATTTGATTTGTTCGGGTACATTGAATATTTCACAACGGATTGAAAAGACCAGTGATGAAACGACACTTTAGTAAAGGTGCAAGTTTGTATTGCGATTCTTGAACGGTATGAAATAATTTGTGCTATCATTTTGATCATTGTTTCTCAAACCCTGTTGGGCGGTTCTGTGCAGTACTGTTGGAAACCAGCTGGTGGAGTGTCAAGCTTGTCTATTACGAAAGGCCAGTAAGTGCGATATCCGGTACGGGTATTCTGCCTCGTCCAATCAGCTTCGCCCACTGTAGTGCCGGCGCAAAAACATACATCACGAAAGGCTGCATAGTATTCTGCTGAATATACGAGTGATTTTTCAACAATACCTCCCGAAGAGTCCAGACTGTAATTCGTCTCAGGTAAAGAAATAGTCGTCCTCCTGCTACTATGTGCAAGAAAAAAAAGTTCATTCAGTATTTGGAACTTGAGCCATACCGTCTCCATGTGAGTTAGCATTAGCCCGCAAGCTAACAGCGATTTGCCTATGACAGTATAGCAGACCTAACTCGCTTGAAGTCGCCGACCCATCGAAGTGAGACCAAAGTATCGTCAGGGTTTGTTAGTTTCACTGTTTTACGCATACCGCCTTTGTCTTTCGACACACAAGGCAGAAATTGCTGGTCTTGATCATGTTACAATACATTCGTATTGTGCGAGCTAGTGCCAATTTAATGTGACAGCAATACGCTTGAGTTGCCAGAGTGTTGACATTTGCAAATGTCAAATTTTCCCACAATTGTTTTTAATAGGAAGTGCCAAAATTTTAACATACAGTTCCCATCATGTCCATGGTAGTTCCCTTGCGTTTGTTTACATAAATAGGATTACTCTCATCAAATACCAATTGGATTGAACGTGTTGAGGCCTTTTACCGTGATAAGTGAGCCGCATATCTCATCGAATGTCAGGACTTCAAATTGCTTAAATTATTCCTAATATTTGGTCACCTAAATGATGACGTCACACTGTATGTGTTTCCCTCCTATTGGTATCGAGCTCAGCCGAATGCATGTTTTTGTTGGCATAACATCCATCCATTTGCTTTAGCTCTTCGTCCTCTTTAGTGTTACGGGTGAGCTGGAGCCTATTCCAGATGACGTCCAATCAGCCGGGTTACCTGGACTGGTTGTCTGACAACTGCATGGCACATACAGACAAGTCCTACCATTCACAGCTATACTGTAGCGTAGACGATTGGTGAACCACGGTCAATAATACTGTGATTGTCTGGCAACCAATACAGGATGTGCCCCACCTCCTGCACCTAATCAGCAGGAATAGGCTCCAGCTACGTTACCCTAATGAGGATGAGCATGATTTAAAAAAATGGATTTATGGGCATTCCTAAAATACCAACATTGTCGTCAAACCTAGTTGTTATTTTCCATGTAGATGGTTTATAATGTCTTTTTGCATTCATTCCACTCTACAGAGGCATGGATGCCGAGGGCTTTGGGGAGCTGCTGCAGCAGGCCGAGCAGCTGGCTGCTGAAACAGAGGCTGTGTCAGAGCTGCCACATGTTGAGAGGAACCTTCAGGAGATCCAACAGGCAGGGGAGAGACTTCGGTCACGCACACTCACCCGAACATCGCAGGATGCTGCCGATGTAAAAGCGTAAGGAATTTGACTGCCTATTAACTTAAACGTAGCTACAGGTAAATTACCTTTTGACATTGTTTCATGTGATGCATTCATTCGTTTTCCCAACATATTTTTCTGCATAACTTCTTTACTTACTAAATGTTTCGGTCTAATATGATAAGTAAACATGTTAATTTTAACTTAGCTGACTGACACCACAGTCACAAATTTAACGGAGATGTCCAACAAAGTCTGTTACACCTTCTCCTAGAAATCAGGCTAAGACATAGTAATCTTGGTTGAATCCCACTATCATATTCATTCATGGGGAATTTCCTCAATCCACATTTCAGGTCGATCCTCCTCGGTTCCAGAGGTTTGGACATATTCCATATTTCTCAGCGACTGGAGAGTTTAAGTGCGGCTACTACCTTTGAGCCCTTGGAGCCAGTTAAAGACACTGACATACAGGTAGGATTCAATTAAGAGTCTGTTTCACCACTTCACATAATTAATCATTCATATGATTTACCGTATATTTTGGGCTATAAATCACAAGTTTGTAGCTGTGAAGTAAAAGTAAATGTTTTATTTTAATTCAACCCAAGTCTGCTTTCATGAAGAACTCCAGGAATTGGAGAATATTTACTGTTTAGAAGCTGAAATTCTGAGGGTTTGGACAATTTTACATTGAAAAAGGGATCTAAACGACTAATCAAAAATCCCAAATTATTTTCTATTAATCTGATTATTGATTACCGGTAGTTGCTGACTAATTCATTAATTGTTGCACCTCGAGTACCCTTACATCCGGGGTGTCCAAACTCGGTCCTCAAGGGCCTCTGTCGTGCCTGTTTTCCAATTCTCCCAGGAGCAACGCACCTGATTCAAATAATCAGGATCGTTCGAATGCTGCTTCAGAGCTGGCTGATGAGCTGATCATCTGAATCAGGTGTGTTGCAGCCGGGAGAGATGGCAAACGGGCAGGACAGTGGCCCTCCAGGCACGGAGCTGGACATGCCTGCCTTAAATGCAAACAAAAAGGTACAGAAATTGTCCCTTTGTCCATTTGGACTATTTGTGTACCTTTTCTAAGCATAAACAGTACTTATTTGTACCTGTTGTTTCACTTGTGCACTTTACAAAGCACGACACAAACATTTGTGCCTTGGAGAACAAAAATGGACCCCTTCAGTACCCACCCCTTCAAACTCGTTTCTTTTGAGATTGTACTTGAGAGACATAGCGCACCATACAATATCTGCATTGGTAAATTGGGAGTCATTTCAGATATCTGTCCGAGTGCCCATGAAAGGCAGCACGATGCCACGTGGTACCCAGACGGGAAAATCTGATAGTCCTGGTAATTACAGTCCAGTATATTGCTGTTGGAAACTCTTCTCATTGTCACAACTCCTATTATGAATGACTCAACATATTCCTACACAGACACTGAACACAACCAGTTGCTCCTCAGAGCTTGTTTCTTTATTTCGCTCCAATTACTTTTCATAAAATGGTTGTAGTCTGTTGTTTTTTTCCCCCTTCTGCTTCCCTCTTCACCTCTCAGATATCGGGAGTGAGCCAAACGCCAGGCTTCCTGTTTTGTCTCCCGCTGTTGGTCACTGTTTTGTTTATGTTCCTCTGGATGGGTTGTAACTGGGAAAGTAAATCCCTTGTGTATTTTTTACTAACTTGGCCAGTAAATATGATTCTAATTCTGATAATCCATTTGTCACAACTTCAAATGTTCGTGTCAGACTGTATTTACTTTTGTTTGTCCTTCTCAGAAACCTCTGATCCAATTTCATTCTTTTCCTACAGTGATTTTTGTTTTCCTCTCCCCAGTTCAGTCTTTCGCTCCTCTTGGCACACCGGATGTAAATTAGCCCGGGTGCTTTTGACCAGCAGATTGACTGCTAGTGCACTTAGCTTTTACCAGCATGGGGGTATATTTGTACACACACACACACACACACACACACACACACAATCAAATTGACTGGAATATTTTCCTCTTTATGTGGAGGCAAACCACGACTTCACTTTAGCAAGCAGTTTACAGGAAGATGGTTAGCAAAACCGTTACCGTCACATAACAATGTCCACTAAAGTCATTGGATGATAATTTATGAAGCATAGAAATGATGCAGGCAGGAGTGTGGTTGATAGCAGGTTGTGTACGCCCAACCAGAATTTTTTTTTTTTTTTTTTTTTACATTTTTTTTATTTGGAAACAAAAATCAGTTTTGGACAGAAAAAAAGTACAGATTGCTGATTAAGTTAAAAATTGGCGGGCCAGACTGGTCCCTATTCCCCGGGAATAGCAGGGTCGACTGCAAATATATTATTGAAAACATGTCTTTCTCGGTTCCTAGAATGCATTGCGTGCCACAATGGATTTGCCTATTTATCACACACAAAGATTCAATTCATCAAACCAATTTAGGAATCACACAGAGACAACCCAAGTAAATACAAAAATGTAGTTTCTAAATGCCAGTTTACTTTATTTAGACCCCAAAAAATCCAAACCTGTGTGTCCCTATGTGAAAAATTAATTGCCCCCTGAATTTAATAATGGACTGTGCCACTCTTGGCAGCAATAACTGAAATCAAGCATTTGTGCTAATTGGTGATGAGTCTTTCACATCGCTGTGGAGGAATTTTGGCCGACTCTTCTTTGCAGAATTTCTTCAACTTCGCCATATTGGAGGGCTTTCTAGCATGAAGGTCACATGACAGCATCTCAATTGGATTCAAATCTGGACTTTGAATGGCCACTCCAAAACCTTTACTTCTTCTTTTTCACATAGGACGTGGAGTTTTGGATTTTTTATTGGGCCTTAATAAATTCAATTGGGATTTAGAAACTGCATTTTGTATTTCATTGGGTAATCGCTGTATGTCATTAAAATTGGTTAGATGGACTGAAACCTTTGTATGCAATAAATATGCAAAGAACACAGAAATCAGGAAGGGAGCAAATACTATTTCACAGCCCGATATAAGTGCTTTAAGATGTAGATTTATGATTCTTCAATAATGCTTCCTGAATTGTTAGCAGCCTGCTTTGGCAAGAATCGCCCTCCTGCTAGTTACTGCTCATGAAATCTATGACGCCTCAAGAAGTAGCAACTACACATAATAGTTTTGTTGATATTCATGTATGAATGGCAAAAAAAAAAAAAAAATCCAGACCATCTCTTGCTTTGTCAGATGGTATGGATGGTTTAGATATACAATTCATCAAAGTACCGGTAAATGTGAACGTTGCATGTCTCTGCAGGTGTTTGTACATGCTCGACCCAGTATGTCAGGCTTGAGTGACCTCATACATACTGCTGTGGTTCCTGTGAAACACACATAAATACACCAAGAGAACTGCTGTGTAAATGGTGTTTCCGTTTGAGTGAACACAAATTAAAAAGGATGTTACTGAAGGAAGCCGTGCCATTTCAGAGTCCCAGATTACGGATTTAAAGTGTTAGCTACTTATTTGCATGTTTCTGTCAAGACTATGTTTCGATGAAAAAGTTCAGGTTCAACGGGAACATTTGATTTAGTTAATTTCTCCTTGATTGTGTTATATACAGCACAACCTCCGAAGTTGTACAGTTGGAATTCAACCCCGAATTTTAAAAAACAAAGAGAGAAAAAAAAATGTCAGTACAATTATATCATGTCTACCTCACAGTTGAAAGACTCTGGCAGGGTACAACATTACGCCTTTTTAGGGTGGTCGCCGTGTTGGGCCTAGTTGTGGTGGCCCTGCCAGAACCGGCACTGGCCCTGATTTCAAACAATACTTAACAAAATTCATAATGACATGAATTGGCCTACCAGTGGATGAAATAGTAAAATGGGTAGTCTCAGCAGCCAAAATGCACATACATATGGACGATCAAGACAGCCGCTTAGTCACTTCATAAAATAGCTATACTCTCCACTCCCTAGTATATGTGTAGCGATTTAAAACAAAAGTCATCATTATATGTGTATGCCTATTTGTGAATTAAATAATGAAGCGTGCCATGTCAGTGGCGAAAATCCGTCTTGTTAGGGTTAAATGAAGACAATAAATTGTATGTGGGTTCTTTGTCTCGTTGCGCCCTGTGATTCGGACTGGCTGATGTATTTTCTCCCTTCAAATGACATTCTTCAAATTCAGTTTTGTTTTTTGGATTACCACTCTGCGTAGTTCTCTGTGCCATCAAATCGTATACTAGCGGCAAGTAAAGACGAGAGAGGAATTAAGAAAAACGAGGAAATGTGGCACACCCGATAAATGAATAGAATAGTGAAACATAAGGCGTGGAAAGCTGAGAGCCTTGCTGGTGCGGAAAAATGGCGTCCCACCGCAATTCATTGCATCTCTGTGTCCTCATCTCACTTATCCCTGGCCCATATTTGCCCCTCACCATTTTCTTGTTTGCTGACTCGCCTTTTTTCTGTAACCTCGTTCCATTTCTTGATTTTTTTTTCTCTCTTTTTATTCCATTTGCATCCTTTCCCGTCCTGTGCCCTCACCATCTCCACCCCCACCGGCTTTTTACATACACACTCATCCTTCAGCAGTGATGGCAGCGAATCCAGTTGGCTGAGCACGGAGTGTCTGCGGCGCTCTATGAACATAGCGACACTGTGTGTGCGTGCGTGTGTGTGTGTGTGTGTGTGTGTGTGTGTGTGTGTGTGTGTGTGTGTGTGTGTGCGTGCGTGTGCGTGCGTGCTTCGTGTGTGTCAGATGCATTGCATGTGTGTATATGTGTCAGGGACGGTCGGTTACACTCGCTCCTCCACTCTTCCCGGGATTATGAATGAATGTGCATGTGTGGCACGTGCAGTTTGTGCTGGCTTGCACATACGACTACAGCTATGCCATATGCCGCTGTGGATGAGTGTGACTTCAAGTGGTGTGGAGAGTAACATGTTGGCTTTGTGTGCCCCCATGTAACTCAGAAGCCCTTCATTAACTAAACATGACCCTTAAGAGCACGATTAGCCTCATTTCGAGGCAGGATGTCGGAAGCCATCAAACAAGGGGGGGAAATCCATTACTGTAATTGCATTGAGAAAAGGGAGGAAGGAGAGGGGATGGGAAGAAAGGAAACGTAGATGGATAAAAAAGGAAGAAAATGAGTGGGATGGACGAAAGTAGGAGGCAGAGGGCTGTCAGCGACGCTTAGATGAAGTGAGGGAGTGTGAACGAGAGCAAGGATATGTGGCTGAGGGAGGGGGGAGTCAGCTGACGGTATGAACAGATACCCTGTATGAATCCATAGTTCCTTCCCATACATCCCCCCTCTGTCTGCCGTTACAATTGGTATGGCCCTCTGACAATAAAACCACCTCCAGTGAGTCTCGATGTGCCACTTGCACGCGCTTCTCTGAGGTTCATCGTCAGTGCCCTACTTTTAGGCAGGAAAGGGCTGTAGGCGCACTGCCATGCCGGCCAGACAGGGCATGGGGAAAACGCCCCAGAATGGCGGACACTGTCGCCGCCATGGCCCTTCCTGACATGGAGCGACTCAGGGATGAAGAAACCGAAGGGCGACGCTGGTCTTTCCTGTGTTGTCAAAGCCCAGAAACCCTGGCAGAGACAAAGAAAAGAAACATTTTTTTGTATTCTTCTACGTTCAAACATGTCCTGTTTTCTGCCAGGCAGCCACTGAGCATGAGTGAGTATTGCCCACACATGAATCTACGCACACACTATGAGACAGGTATCTGCTTTGTCTCTCACTCACTCACACACACACACACACACACACACACACACACACATCTCTTCTGTTTGTCTTCCTTGCTCTTTCCTTTGCAAATATTACATTATTGATCATTGACAAATGCAATATAACGTCAAGGTAATTAAAATGTCAGTGACAGAAAATGTTGGATGACAATAAAATCAACTTATGTACTTGCATATGCTATCTGCAAATGTAGGTGGATGATTATCCAACCGGAAAGTCGTGTGTGGTTTGTTCCTTGCACACTGAGGGCACTGGTCAGCTCTTTGTGTCATGGCAAGTAAGCGCAGAAAACCTCATGCTCTCACTGTCATGATGCCACACACAGGGACTGCGGTGCCCTCCCTTCTTTTAACTCTTCAATGCTGTTCTCATATCGTACTCATATCATGAATATCCTTGTAACGCATTTTGTCTTGAATTTCCCTTCAAAGTGCCAATAGGCCGCTTTTAGGTGCAGACTGTACTATCTATGAATGAAGAAGGCCTGTATGAGCTGGCGCATTGAACACGCCAATGTGTCTGTTAACAAATGTGAGAACGCACCACTTTTTGCCTACAATTAAGAAAAAGTGTTGATGTCTATCACCGATTCACAAACTTTGCGGTAAATGAAGAGAATGTCCAAAACTTCCATCTGTTGTATTTTTTTATTGATTTAAATAGCATCCAACCGCATAATGTCCTTACACACCAAAGCTTTTTTTTTTCTCCTGTGGTTGTGCTAGTAAACCTTCTGGGCTTTTATTGTCCATAGGCTGTGTCTGTTCTCCGTGGTTAGCAGGTCTCCGAGGATGCACAATCTAAGGGTGGGGCATCCGAAAAGCATACATCTTTAACCACCCTAAATAACATGTTGCCCATTTGACAATTGTCAAATATGTTTCTTCATATGTTTTCCTTCTTTTCTACAATTTGACTTGATCTATATATTGGTTTGATTTGACAGTTTGAGCCTGAACATGTGGTAGAATTGAAGCATCAGCAGTCTCTCAACTGCTCAGTCTCGGACTGACTGAGGCTGACTGGCATGTCACTCTCAGCCATCATGTACTGACCAAATCATACATGATATAAATGCCTTGTAACTGTTTGTTGGATTATTTTAAAACCAATTTCTCACGTTCCGTGCATGAAACACAAACCCTCATGGAAATTATCAGTTCTTATTGTCTTTTGTTGAACTGTTTTCAACTAGGACAATGCATTCATATCAGAGCAATGGTGCTTTTGGTCGTTGCTAAAGGCTATGTTGTCAGTATGCATTTGGCACCAAAAATGTCTTGTCGGTGGAGTCTTTGGTAGCGCGAAATGAGCTGGCGTCAAAACTACCGCACGGAAAAATGGTTCTGCTTCTTATTGCAGTTCATTTGAGGTAGGAATGCAGCAGAGATACCACTCTGTTTCTCAATGTGTCACTGCTGTTTAAGATTCTGGCCGAATGAGCAGCTCTTCTCACACTGCCTGTTTCTGTAAGAGATGTATAATTTTCTCTTTCAACAATTCCAGGAATAATAATTAGATAGCTCCCAGACAGAAAGACGATGATAAAACTAGAGTGGTTTTTAAATACTGTCTCGCCAAAGTGTATCTCATTTTTTTATCAGGACATTACATGGACAGGCTCCTTTTTTAAAGCAAGTTAAAATTGTCTCGATTCTGTTACGATTTAGCCATGGTTGGGTTCACGAAAAATTGGAAATACATAGCACACTGTCAATGAATTGTAAAAATCTCAACGATCAGTCAAAGGCATTGGGATGCAAGGACTCCATAAAATCCAACAATCAGCTGAGGTTGCTTACTTATTGGAAAACAAATTATGTTAAAAACATAATTGCATCGGAAGAACTGTTTGTAAATTATGAGTCATGAATAAAAATCTTAATTGTAAAATTAGCAATGTAAAGGTGAAGTTGCTGACCTGCATTATAAGGATTACATTTATTTTTTGACAATCCAGTCATTGACTGTAAAATTGCTTGTATTCTGAGTTTTATGAGGTAGAGGGGAGTCTGAGGAATGCACTGGCATGAGCGCGAGATACAGGACAAAGAAGCGATGTCACGAATGGTCGGAAAATTAACCAGCAGGTGGCTTTTATATGGTACACAAGAGAGGTGATGAGAGAGGAAATGGGAGGCCACGAGTGCTTATTTGCCTGTAAGCGGCCATCCTCTCTTCTTCAAGCTTCAAGAATAGCTGTCGTATCCTTCTTGGCAACCAAGATGATACAGTCTGTCATAGACTGTAGAGCAAATAGCACCCAAAATGGCATCATTATTAAATAGATAAGCTATGATGTGACAGCAGTCACATGATGGGCTCTTCCATCAGGCTTCAAGGCGTTCGGTTATAGTACATAAATTAAAAAGAAAACTACAGCTGTCCTCCGGGCATTTGAGGAGAAGGAGCAATTTATATCCCTGATGCAGACCTATTGATTTCAGTGGCTGAAAAACAGTGACAAAATAAAGGCGAAGCCAATAAAAAATCGCCCAGACGTCTGTCTTTTTTCTCTTCAGTTTGGTTCAGCCAACGTTGACACGTTTGTTAATTTGACTAGCACTTTTTTTTTTAATGATTCATTGTATTTATGTAACAAAGCAAGAGTGGGGTTCATTCGGTGTGTTACCACTGGTTACCTTTATAAGTAAAGCAGTTTGTTCTAGATGAAGAATCATAACATTTGAAACGCGGTGAATCTGAGTTCTTATATTGACCAATGACTAATAGCAAATATTTGTGTTTATGGCTTCCGAGCAAGGTCTTTGGTGAGAATGACATCCATTGTACTATAGCCGTCTGATGCAGAATATACATGAATCATTCCTTCAAATACCAGTACGCCGTGATCGGAAAGGAGTTAGCTCACTTTCAAGTGAGTCATCAGGCTGATGGTCTCATTGTGTTACGTCCAGTAATTGTGATCCGAGGCAGTCAGTACCGGGAAAATTTTCATACAATCGCTTGTCATTTCAAAATATTTTAAGTGGATGGGTAAAGTGTTTTCTGAATTTTCTGAATGCCTGTTTCCAAGATAATGTAATGTACTATAATGAGCTGAACAATGCTGCAAAAATCAATTCCACACATACGACAGAATTCTTATTAGTGAATTAATTATACACCTCCCCAAAGTTATTTCTTGTGTGCTTGGTAAAATAACATGATACTTTTCATTGGTGTGGTTTACAAGGTCCATATTAGAAAAAAAAAAACATTCAGCTTAGATTTACCTGCCAAGATGTTTTTCATAGTGAACCCCAGCCAGTGGCTCACAGTTCTGCTCACTTTCCGAGGACAAAGCACATCAGCTACCTGCCATTTTGATGCTTTCTCAAAATGGCCGCTCCATATGCTCGGCTGTGGTCACTGACTTTCTTTCCTTTCGCTTTTTCCGAGTGCTGCCTGATACGCATCTGCATGCAGCATTTGTTACATAAGGGCAACTTGCAAACGAACACTCTTGTGATTGCTAAGTTTGTCTTTAAAACACGTCAAGTTGATGCAGGTACAGGTTTCTGAGGGAGAGCCGCGGGAGAGGGAGAGATGTCTTGCAGCGGAATCCATTTTGTGAAGATGTCAAAATGGAGTCTATGCTGATTGCTGTCTCATTGCAAAATGGCGTGTGGAGAATTAGCACAGCTCGGAGTGCAAACGCTTGCCGTTTCATCTGTATGAAATGGCAACTGTAGGTTTCACTAATCCCACCACATGCTTGATAAGCAGCGACTTGTCTCCTGCAGAGTAAAATGTCTGCTAAATTTCTCCCTGTAGAAGTATTCATATATTCCCTGTACAGGCACTCACATTTTTTTGTTTTGTCTCATTATTTTGTCCAGCCATGCTAAGATGTAATTCTCCCTGTTTTTCCTTCTCTCTCCGACTCACTTGGCTTGCTTGGCCTTCTACCGCTGCCTTCCCATCTCTGCACAGGGCTTCTTGAAGAACGAGAGGGACAACGCCCTGCTGTCCGCCATCGAGGAATCTCGCCGCAGGGTCAGTGCCTGCGTTCAAGTGTTTCTGATTTCTGCTCGGGTCAAGAAAAGAGCTTGAGATATGTGACAGGCCAAAGTGGGAATTCAGATAAAGCACCTTGGAAATTAGCAGGGTTAAGTGATCTTAGATTATGAGATGTTGTCATGACAAAATAGTTTCGGAAATTAGAAATAACATCAGCTTTAATTCTGCCGTTTTATTACTGTCATGCCTGGATTGACAAATCCGTTTGTTTGTTTGTTTGTTTGTTTGTTTTTTATTGAACATCGAGTTAAACTCTGATGCGTTCTGACCACAAGAACACTCAGAAAAACACTCTTTTTCTCATGTCTGCTGGCTGTGATCGAAACGTCCTTCTGGTGCAACTCTGCAGGGAATGGTTTTCAAATGGCTTCCCTGATGAGCAGATCTAATAGGCCCAGCCTTTAATTAGTTATCGTTCCCATTATTTCCCCGTGAGAGCAGGAAAAACTTATGTGAAGGGTTGAAACAAAATGCTCTATAAATGCATAAAAGAAAGCTTGCATTACATTCCCCTACAGATGTCTACATCCCAAACCCCACTGTTAAAGAAAGTCTCTCACAGGATTTATGACAAAATCTAATGCTTACACCTGGACGGCACGTCCGTCTCACAGTCCAGAGGTTCAGGTTTCCATTCCGGCCTTCCTGTGTGGAGTTTGCATGTTCTCCCCGTGCCTGCGTGGGTTTTTTCCGGGTACTCCTGTTTCCTCCCACATTCCAAAAACATGCATGGCAGGTTAATGGAACACTCAAAATTGTCCCTCAGTGTGATTGCGAGTGTGAATGGTTATTTGTCTGTGTGCGCTGCGATTGGCAGGCAACCAGTTCAGGGTGAACCCCCCTCCCCCCCCCCCCTCCAAAAAAAAAAATGCCTGAAGACAGTAGGGATAGGCTAGAGCATGCGGTTCGGATAATGGATGGCTATAATGCTTAACGCTCCTTTCACTGCCTAGCCAATTTAAATAATCAGTTAATCAAAACCGTTTTTAAAAAAATCTGCATTTGCTATTGGTAATGTTCAACATGCCGCCAGGTTTGAAGCTCCCTTGATATGATCGTATCATATCAGTACTGTAGCTGAAAAGTGTTATCTGGTGGACAATTTACATACATGATGGAGACCTTCACACTAAATTAGCATTGAGTTCATGTGTTAACGTTTGCATGTTGGTGCAGCCTTGTGCTGAAATGTGTAAAAGAAAAGCTGAGAGATTCAGGTGGTGACCAATTTAACTCGGTAAATGGGGGCTCCAGTCCAGATTGGTATCTCCCTGGGCTGGAGATAGGAAGGATTTAATTATCTAATGTTCCCATTATCTCACCTCGCGTCTCTGTGGAGGGTTAAAATAGACGAGTCCTGATGGGCTTTCACAAGCTCTACTTGAGTCTCGAGCTAGCTTTTACTGAGCATATGCATGATGGTCTGCATGTGTAGCCAAGTTGACTTCTTGTACAGGAATATTAATGTTGCATTCAAGACTTGGCCATGTAAGATATACGCACAAATTGTACCAGGAAAATGATAAGTAATAAACACAGGTTCGTTGTTTCCTTCCATTCCAGCACGCTCATGTGTGATTTGACACATTTAACTCTATAACTAAAGTGAGGGGATGCATGTTTCAGACATTCCTCCTGGCTGAAGAGTACCATCGTGAGTCCATGCTGGTCCAGTGGGAGCAGGTGAAGCAGAGAGTGTTGCACACTCTCCTTGGAGCAGGAGAGGACGCCCTCGACTTCAGTCAAGATGTGGAGGTACAAGACTTGAACTCCAAAGCCTCAGCAGGCTTCACATTTGTAATAAAAATGAAATGTGTGTCCTTACTGCTCACATCCTGTGAAGGCAATTATTGTTGCTGTTTTGCAGAGCACAAGGCTGCTAAAACATGACAGATTGAAGTCATTGTCTTTTGTATGAAGACCCGTTTTTTTTTTTTAAACTTGTGTCTATCATGAAAAAAGAGCTTTTCCCAAAATAGAATGCCACGTCCACCTCCTACTTATAAATAATGAAGACAAAAGGAATTGTGTCTATTTTTGGTGTATTTCACACGTTTGAATACCGGTTTCTCAACGGTTTAATATAGCAGGTTCAAAAAACATCTTTTGTTTTTTGTTCTCAATACGTCATATCAGTGAGAGCATTTCTTAGCTTCACCCTAGCTTTGTTTGACCTATTTCTGACAAACTGTTTGCACCAGTATTAAGTTTAGAACCTTTTAATTTTTTTATTTACAATTTTAATTCATTGTTGTTAAGAAATTGTGTCCGGTAATCAGTCTTAACAGGAAAAAGATATGCATTACTGTACAGCAGCAGGATCATTGAACAACAGAATTACAACTGTTGCCGAAAACTTGCCAACCGGCTGAAGACTTTTCGACTTTTATCAATTAAAAACAACAGTAACACCACCAAAAGGTGTGTATAGATATATACAATACAATACATCCTGATTTATATAACGCTTTCACAACAGCTGCAGCTATAACAAAGCGCTTAACATAACAGTTAACATAAAGTAAAATAATAAACACAACACATAACAGAGTAATATATACATATATCTATATATATCTATTTTTATCTATCTATCTATCTATCTCTCTCTCTCTCTCTCTCTCTCTCTCTCTCTCTCTCTCTCTCTCTCTATATATATATATATATATATACTGTATCTATATCTATATCTATAGCTGCTATACCTTCACCCCTTGCATGCGAGAATAGCAACAGAAAATGTACATATGGCATACATCAAAAAGATTCTGTACATCTGTGGAGCGTATTCAGTTGGTTGTCACTGTTTTTGTTGTAGCCCAGCTTTGTGAGTGAAGTAACAGCACCAGGAAGGAGTGCTTTGGACAGCGTGGAGGTGGCCTACGGGCGTCAGGTGAGTCAACTTAGTGGAAATCATGGGACGACCTGGTTTTGTTAGAACAAGCAATTTCATTCTTCTTTGGGTCACAATGGCAAACTCAAATTCACATGATTCACATTTAGATTCTCGATTTCTCATTTTAAAAATTAACAAAATGATATATATGTGTGTGTGTGTGTGTGTGTGTGTGTATATATATATATATATATATATATAAAATTTAGATATTACAACCATTTTATGCAGAGTACCTCTTTTTCAATAGTCTTTGGATAAAGTGACATAATTTAAAATATAATCATATACAGTAGACCCCCCCCGTACTCATGGTTCGGCACCTGCAGATTCACCTATTAGTGAATGTTTACCCCTTTTTGAGAGCCAGCTCTCGTTTTTTTTTGTTGAACACGCTTATTGGCGGTATATCCCTACGTATTGAGATTATGTGGGCTGTTAATATCAAGAGGAATTTGTTGTATCCATTCCATCATCTACTGATTTTGTAATAAATATGTCAATCTGAATTCAAACATAATGTGGATTACATTTAAATGCACCCATGCCTGATCATTAAATAGAAATGAGGTCACAGGAAGACAGATCAAATATTATCGATTGATGAGGGAGCAGAGGAGCATTGTGGGTAAATTCTCTCTCTCCTGTTGACTATCTTTCTTTGCTATCCACTCTGACCTTCTCCTGTTCTGTTTGTTCTGCATCTCACACTATGTGCCGACACATTGCATGCAGCATCATTTGTCTAGTTTTCGTCATCTTTTTTGAAGACCTTGTCAGCATTGTAATTGTCTTCTTGTTGTTTTTTGTTGTCAACCATTTCACTCAATGGTCATAATGTTTGCCTTTAGTCTGGAAGCTGAAGATGGAATGGTAGGCTTTTTAAAAAATATTTACGGCATGATTTCAAATGTGGCAATAATTTTTTATGACTGAGCATTTTCCTGTCTGCTCGGTATGTAATCTGTTTTTATTTGTTTATTTGTAACTGTCACGTCCTGTTTTAGATCTACATTTTCAACGAGAAGATTGTGAATGGTCATATTCAGCCGAATCTGGGAGATTTATGTGCATCTGTAGCAGAAAGCTTGGACGACAAGGTAATATCATGTAACTGCAAATTAAATGTTACTCTTTGCAATTTTGGATGCAAGCATTTCTCATTAGCTGCCATCTTCCTTCTAGAATGTGTCAGACCTGTGGCTCATGGTGAAACAGATGACCGATGTTTTGCTGGTTCCTGCCAAAGATACGCTGAAGAGTCGCACTTCAATTGAGATGCAAATGGAATTTGTGCGGCAGGCGCTCGGCTTCCTAGAGAATAGGCGAGCTTCCGTATTCACTTCTCCCTCTAATTAAGAAAGTTTTAATGACGATGTCGTCGCTAAATTCAGTGTGAATATGCAGCTGGCTAAGGTTATTGTAGCTTTACTGTGGCTTGTGTCTCCTATCTTACAGTTATAAAAATTATACCATGGTGACTGTGTTCGGAAACCTTCATCAGGCCCACCTGGGAGGGGTACCGGGAACGTACCAGCTTGTACGCAGTTTTCTTAACATCAAGCTACCCGGTCCCCTGCCTGGCATGCAGGTAATTCACACTTTGAATGTGCAACATCTAGTCCTAGAATTCCTGTAACTCGTTTTGCTATGTGTGTACTGTAATCCCCCCTTCCCCCATTTGGGGACTACATTCTGGAACCCCACCGCAAATCGCCATAATAAGTGAAAATCTTCAACATAGAAATACCATATTTTAATACAGCCCTTGCCATCTTTTTATAGATTTCCTGCACATAATTTTAAGGTCTTCAGAAAGACTTTTAAAACAATAGTACACATTTACAGCACATAACGTAAATTGAGAGAGAGCACGAGCAGTGGATAACAAAAATATTGTATAAACAGCATTGAAAAATTGAGTAACGTTAAACTATAGCCGCTACTGCCTAGACAGCACACATGCAAGAAATCCTCTGTCGTGCTCACTGTCAAGTATATACGGACGGTACACACACATTGTCTCTTCGAACATTATGTGACCATATTTATAAGTTCAAAATTACCAGTGGATAAAATACCAGAGCTTGTTGTAAAAATGTACGAGCAGCCCACACCTTGCCGGTCTGTTCAGTTGAATGGCCCGGTGTGGCGCGGTCTGCATCCTATTTCCATCGCAACCTGCGTCTTAGTTGACTGCCACCATCTTTTTGTGGATTAATAAAAAGTCATACAATATAACATATTGTATGGGGACCCTCAAAACACGATCCAGGCATAGTTCATAACACCTGGAAGTCCACACAATCACGTCGCCATGTACTGCATCAGTGCATACACAGACATCTCCTTGTGCGGGGGTGAGTAGTTAACTTTTTTCCTCAAGCCACACCTAACATCCATCCACATTCTGAACTGCTCATCTGTCCTACGGCCATGCCTGGACAAATTGATACAGAACAACACACATGTTGATGCAGTTAATACACACACGCACGCACGCAAACAGAACAAACACTTCTGTTGTAGCATAAAATTGCTATTTATCGTTAAAGCACAGTTGCAGTGCAATGTGAATTTAATTATATGTAATATATTGCTGACTTTGTTGATAGTTGTCAATAAGTTAAAAAAAACTACACTTTCCGCATCCTTTTGGATTGATAAATTGTTTTTTAAAAAAAATGCTTAGTTTTCCACTGAACCCCTAGTAATATGGTTATCGCATCGTTATCGAGACATCTGGAAAAAATACAGAGACATTCAATTTTAGCCCTATCACACAGCCTAGTAGTGAGTATTAATGCAAAGGGTTACCAGTTTGATATGCACTTAAGAAATTTACTCAAATTATTTGGTGGTAAATCCTCTCCTCGTTGTTGTTTCGCCTGCTGTCGCTTCTCCATGAAGATTTGGTCATACGCAATGATGGCCTTTGACAAAGACTGGTTTTTTTTCCTGTTTTGTTCTTTTTTTAATTGTCCTCATTGCCAAAATCTACACCAATGCAAGTGTCGTTTACAAAAAAAAAGCCACAACAAGATTTGATATGCAGCTGACTGGAAAGTGGAGCTTTCTTTCTGTTTGTTGCATTGCATTAACCCTCACGTCTGCTCATACAACAGGATGGTGAGATAGAAGGCCACCCATTGTGGGCTGTGATCTACTACTGTCTACGTTGTGGAGACTTGAATGCAGCCATGCACGTAATCAATCGAGTCCAACACCAGCTGGGAGACTTCAAGACCTGGTTTCAGGAGTACGCAAACAGCCCAGACAGACGGTGAGAATTTTTTTTTTTTCATTTTTACACACACACACACACACACACGCACACACACACACAAAGACGCACACTTTTCATTGGAGTTTTACCTGTAATAGAATACTCAAGGTGTTCCATCTGTTCTTTCTTTGTCGTTTAGCCTTTCCCCAACTTCAGAGAACAAGCTTCGTCTCCACTACCGCAGAGTACTGAGGAACAGCGCCGATCCCTACAAGCGAGCTGTTTACTGCCTCATTGGGAAATGTGACGTCAGCGATAACCATGGGGAGGTGGCGGACAAGACGGAAGACTATCTATGGCTAAAGGTAAAGTATGTCTGTTTCAAATCTGGGCGGCCCGGTGATCCAGTGGTTAGCGCGTCAACCTCACAGTGCAGAGGCACCGGGTTCAATTCCAGCTCTGGCCTCCCTGTGTGGAGTTTGCATGTTCTCCCCGGGCCTGCGTGGGTTTTCTCGGGGTACTCGGGTTTCCTTCCACATTCCAAAAACATGCATGGCAGGCTGATTGAACACTCTAAATTGCCCCTAGGTGTGAGTGTGGATGGTTGTTTGTCTCTGTGTGCCCTGCGATTGGCTGGCAACCGGTTCAGGGTGTCCCTCGTCTACTGCCCGAAGACGGCTGGGATAGGCTTCAGCACCCCTCGCGACCCTTGTGAGGATAAGCAGATCGGAAAATGAATGAATGTTTCAAATCTTTTTTGGTGAAATTGTTCTCAGCGTACCCGTAAACAGAAGCTTGCTCCCAATGTAAAGACTTATAATGCACGTGTTCTTCTGTTTCTCGAGTCGCTATCTCCTCTCATCTGAATGACTGTTGCATCATTCTTTCTCCTTGCAGCTGAATCAGGTCTGTTTCGATGATGATGGCAGCAGCTCACCTCAGGACAGACTGACCTTGCCACAGCTACAGAAACAACTACTGGAGGACTATGGTACGCAGTCTTTCACAGAACTGCGGATCAACTGTGAAGCTGTATTTTTTGTAATTTTTATTTTGCACTATTGTAGAAAAAGGCAGTAAACTACGTGATTACAGAATCTATTTGCTTTTGCTTGACCTCGCTAATGACCAGATCGATATTGTGTAAAATCAAAGGTCAGTACCCAATCTAAAACTGAATCCGAATCCACAGGCTTCACAAGAAGACATGTTGGGATTCCTGCCAGGTGCCTTTTAATATGTCAAATAAAATATAAGCTTACAGTTAAAATCTGTCAAGCTTATTTGTGTTAAAATAATAATTAAGAAACAAATGTATTTGTTTATTAATTAATTAAAGCCTTTCAAATAGATTGGTAAAACATTCTTAAATAATATTGAGTTAACTTCCCAGACTCTTGCATTGTTAGTCGCTGGATGTAGCCAGCTATTTAGATCTTTTGAGCATAAATTGTATTCCATCAGTGATGATGAGAAAGACACATTTCAACCGTACTGAGCTGCTCTTAAAGTCTTTCAGCAAGTTCACAAGTGACAGACAACTTCAACTGTCAGGAAACTTTCTCATCAAACATTCCTAAACAAGTTGTCGAAAAGGAACTAACCATGTGTCTGTGACCCCCCCCCCCCTACACAAAAAAATAAATGACATCACAGTTTTCCCCCTTGGCTGTCTGCACAATGATCGTGCTGCATTCTGATAAGATTGAGGGCTGTGCTCAATAGCCATCACCCTCTCTCTCTCTCTCTCTCTCTCTCTCTCTTCGCCTCTTGCGCCCTCTCTGCTCAGCAGGAACTGCAGCTTCAAGCCCCATTCCGTTTTCCCTCGGTGCCTCGGCTCCCTCAGTTGCCTGGCACCATGTTCCCCGTTGTCCTCCATCTTGCTTAACAGCGGGACATGGAGCCCAGAGCTTTCTCTTTCGCTCCGTTTCTGCCAGAACTCACCCGCCTCGCTTGGCCTCTGCTGTCTTTCTTTCTCCGTATCCTGTGCTCTGTCCTTCTCTTCTCTCTGGTTATCCTTCATTTTCATTCAGTCATTTTGTTTCTCCACCATCCAGTCCTTCTTTTTTGACACCCTCCATTTGTACGTTTGCTCCTTCTAAAACATCCGCCTACTTTATCTTTCCTCTCTCATCCTTTTTCCCTCTCGCCCTCTCTCTCTTTTCTCTCTCTCATATGCACGGTGCTTTTTGAACCAAAGCGCTGCCAGTCTGAGATAAGCCTATGAAATGGCTGACATAGTCCACCCTGTTCTACTCCTCAAACTTGGAGGCAGCAAGAGGATTAGGCCTTATAATTAAAAAGTAAACTTGATGACTAAGTACCTGTGCATTCGAGAATGTTTTCTGAAGTCTTGTACTTACATGTTAGTTGCCATAGTCAGACTGTCAGAATATGAACTATTAGATCTCTAAAGTATAGCTCGTACTGTTTATGTGGAACAAATTAGACGTTCTTTTGTGTTTGAGTAAATTTAAAGCCTTGGCACATTTAATTGCGTTTCTATTGTTCCCAATGTTGGAGTTTGGCTGTGCAGCTAATGGGTCCATCTGCAGAGTTTGACGGAAGCAGGCTGTTTTCACCCTCATTTGCTGAGCGTGGGTGTTTCTCTGCGCTCATTACAAGTGATGTGGAACCAGCATGCTACTTACTTTATTGTAACGTATGAAAACTGAAGCCTGCGCTGCAGTTACAATACCACCATTTCTGTATCGTATTTCCTTCCTTCCACTTTGTTCTGTTACAATCAAGCATCCGCTCGTTGTTAAAGGTACCGTGTGTAGAATTTAGTGCCATCTAGTGGCGAATTAATAGAATACAATGGTTTAAGGTCGAAGTGTGGTCATTTTGAAGCACGCGCACTGTGATGCCTCAGAGAATCTAAATTAAAACGAATTATCACTTGAAATCTATCAGTCTCTATTGAATGAGTGTATGCATTACAAAAGTTTTACTTTTAGTCTAATTACTACAAGAAATCTACTTGTTCATGATATTCTAACTGATTATATTTGAATTTATTTTGGAACATGAAATATGCAAGTATTTCAAGACTATTCGGTGGTTTTAAGAATGGCAGAGGTTTGTATTTAATTTTGATGTTCTTTTCTTTCATCCAACAGGAGAATCCCATTTCTCTGCAAGCCAGCAGCCTTTCCTGTATTTCCAGGTCCTATTCCTGACCGCTCAGTTTGAGGCCGCCGTGGCATTTTTGTTTCGTGTTGAGAGACTTCGGAGTCATGCCGTACACGTGGCATTGGTGCTGTATGAGCTACGGCTGTTGCTGAAGTCCTCTGGCCAAAGCGCTCAGCTGTGTGAGTATAAGAACATACTATCGGATGAGGGAAAGACAACGTGGTTTTTCAATTGGCATCTATGTGCAGTGAGTCAAGAGCCCGGCGACCCCCCGACTGTGCGCCGCCTCAACTTTATCCGCCTGCTCATGCTCTACACTCGCAAATTTGAGTCCACGGATCCAAGGGAAGCCCTGCAGTACTTTTACTTCTTACGGTAATTTGACTCAGTTGTGGGTTTTCCCTTCAAATATTAAGAAAAAAAAAAGTAAAAAAATGTGTTCGAACACATGCAACACCTATTTGCAGAAATGAGAAGGACAGCCAGGGGGAGAACATGTTCATGCGGTGTGTCAGTGAACTTGTTATTGAGAGTCGTGAGGTAAGTTGCAATTTCCTCCAACACGTTTTTTGGTCAATTAACTACAAATAGATCACAAGGCAACCGATTGACTTGTTTGATATTGCAGTAAACGTACCCGAGCAAGCCTAAAAATGAGTTTTCATCTGCAGTACCTGTCTTGGATAATCAAAATAAATGGGAGAAATTTCATGAAAATATAAAATTAGTTCTGGTGGCATCACTGAGTTCATCAAAGTCCTCTTCAGAATCATGTTGCAGTGGGTGTGGCTTTAATTACCGTGCACCTTTAGGCAGATTGAATTGACAGCTTTGGAAAGCATTCGCAAATCATTTCCAATTACCAGACTTGTTTAGACATTCACCAAAATATGTATTCAGAGCAACATCTTAATTTGATGGGAATGTTTTGTCTTTGTCTTTTGCAGTTTGATATGTTACTCGGAAGATTGGAAAAGGACGGGAGTAGGAGAGTAAGAACATTTCCTATAATCAGAATTTTTCCTCAGCTTGAGTAACTTCAGTCCAATTGACCTTTTCAAGTGTACCAGTTTGTTTTTGGTTTTGAAAAAAGTGTGCGTGCAACTGCGTGCTATTTAATTTTATTTTGTATGATGAACCAGTGTTAATTATCTACTAAGGTACACGTAAACAGCTCAGAATTTTTTCTTGCAATTTTAAATGTCCTTAATTTGACTGTCGAACAGTTCAGATGAACATACAGAACAGGACACATGCTTCTCAATAAATATAATTAGGATCGAAATTTTCATTTATTGCAGGGGTTCAATTCAAAAAGTGAAACTTGCATTGTATAGATTCATTAAATCTTTTCCTACGTAACACTAGAATTTCTTGCAATGGTGAATTTTGGTTTTTAGTTAGCTGTAAGATCTGTGTGCAGTGAATCTGTATAGTATGAATTTCACTTTTTAAAGTGAACTGCTGAAATGAAAGAAGTTTTCCACAATATTATAATTTATTATGCATCCTTTCTGGAAGGCGACATATTTCAAAGGTCCTCAGCTACAATCAATACTCCTGGCATGAGTCACTTTCCTTGTAGCGTATCGAATCAAGATGTCCCCATTCTAACATCACCTGATTTTACTTCCGTCTTTCTCCAGCTCGGGGTCATTGATAAGTTCGCTGGAGACACCAGGGCTATCATTAGTAAAGTGGCCTTGGAAGCTGAAAACAAGGGTTTGTTTGAGGAAGCCGTCAAACTCTATGAGCTGGCCAAGGTGAGGACACCTTCGTCTTTGTCGCACTTTCTTCCAGAGCAGAGCTAATTTAAACCCTCCTATTGTTTCCTTTTGCTTGTGTTCTCTGCGTCATCACACCTTGGCCCTGGGAAGAATCCAGACAAGGTTTTGGAGCTGATGAACAGGTTGTTGAGCCCTGTCATTGCTCAGGTCAGCGCTCCTCAGTCTAATAAGGAGAGGCTAAAAAACACTGCAGTGGCCATTGCGGAAAGGTGAGAACACAGCGAAACTTATATTATGCATGATTTGAGATCCTTTCAAGTTCATAGAAAGGATTAAAGCAGATGATTTTTCTTCTCCACTTACAGGTACCGCTCGCAAGGGATAGCAGGTGACAAGTTTGTCGACAGCACTTTCTACCTGCTTCTGGATCTGATGACCTTCTTTGATGAGTACCATGCAGGGCATGTCGATCGCGCATATAATGTGAGTGCTTCGGAACTCATTGTTTTTGCCACTTATTTGCGAGGAGAAAGAAGATAATCACCGCATTTGTTATGTTGAAGTGTCATAGCTCTGATAAGGAGCGAGATGAAGTGAGCTTCATGGCCTTAATGTTATCCCTGCCTGTTAGGTGATGGAGCGTCTGAAGCTTCTGCCCCTCAGCCAGGACAGTGTGGAGGAGAGAGTGGCTGCCTTCAGGAACTTTAGCGATGAGGTGATGATGAGCTCTTGAATAAAAATAGAAACATTGTGATTCAGAGATGCGACACATATATGGTCTTCATCCTCTGTAGGTGCGTCATAACCTATCAGAGGTGCTGCTAGCCTCCATGAACATCCTGTTCACGCAGTACAAGCGTCTGAAGGGGGCGCCGGCTGGCACACAGGGACGAGCCCAGAGGACGTTGGATGACAGAGACACGGTGAGGTTGTGAGCTGTTTAGGAAGCACATCAGTAACGTTCTACCTGCAACTTCACAATGTCATTCTTTTAATATTTTGTTGACTATGAGGTACAGCTAAAAAAAAAAAAACTCATAATCTCAGAACATTGCATAAAAGCAATCCAAAATGATTTTCAAGATGGAAATTAGGCAGGAATTGGGCTGTCTGGAAGGCATTTTTCCAATTGGTTAGTGAATATGTAAAATATGATTCTCACTTTTGGCATTGAACTACTGAACTACATGAACTTTTATAATGAGATGCACTTGTATATATCTTCCAAGACTACATATTTCACATATTTTTCCCCATTTGCAACCACTTAAAATTGGTATAGTAAGTTAACTAAACGAATAATCCATATTTGAGAAATAAATCATCAATCATTCAGACATTTCCTCAAGTACCCATATGAAGTTTTTGGTATTTTTTTAATCTGCTTATCAACAGATGCAAAACAGTATTTTTTTTTATATATATATCTATATATATATATAGATAGATATATATATATATATATATATATATATATAGATAGATTTTACACATCCCATCTGAAGCTCTGGTTGTACGGTAATCTTCACTTGATGTCTTATGATCACAGCAGCTGCGCGGTCAAGCTCGAGCCCTGATCACCTTCGCTGGAATGATTCCCTACAACATGGCTGGAGACACCAATGCCAGACTGGTGCAGATGGAATTGCTGATGAACTGAGATATCACTACACACAGAATCAAAAACAACCAGGGGATGTTTTGGTGACACCCACCAATTACCCACACTCTCATTTTCATTATTTTATTTTAATGAGGCAAACATGCATTGTTTGTGTTTGCATGCGTATCTTGTGTTTCTATCATTAGTTTATATCTTTTGATCCTTTCCCCATTGTACTGTTTCATATTTGTACTGCCAGTTGTTTGGAATTAAAAAAGGACTTTTCAGTTATTGTTCTGTTCCGTTCACATTTTTATTTTGCTTGATTTATTCACTGCTTTATTTGATTGCATGCATTTTGGGTTTCTAGAAAAAGAGATTCTGACATCCTTCTGTGAAATCTCTGGTCAATTTACATTTTTACCATAGCACTGTTTTTTTTTTCTGCACACGCCCCCCAGGCTCAAACATGTTTTACATGCACTCAGTGAGCGAAGCAACATGGTCTATGTTGTTAGCCTCATGTTGTATTCTCATGAATAAGTTTTCAAACCGAAGAACTGTTTTTGAAAAACACAGTGAATTCGTTTGGAATTATTCATACTCTTGTCAAGAAGGAAATCTGCGAGTAAAATTGTAAGATATGAAGAATTCGCTATTTTCATTTGTATAAATCTTACAAACATTTGTTGAGAAGGCATAATGCATGTTATCAGGTCATGCTCTTTGTGTATGAGTGATGGTGACATACTGACAGTTATTCTTGATCTATTGTAGGACACAGCCATCTTTTTTTTAAATTAATTCTGACCGCTAGATGTGTATTATATATATATATATATATATATATATATATATATATATATATACACACACACACACACACATATACATACATACACACAACAGTATTTTGACAGTGTTGAGAGTTATGTGTAATTTGCTGACAGCCTTCATTTTGGGAAGCAGTACCGCGCCTGCTATGTGCTCTAATATTCTGTGTGTTCCATACTCTGTGTCCTTCAGTCTGGCCTGAGAGAACACAGATGGAGGCTCATTCTGTCAGTGCTGCTCCACATATTATACACACGTGAGGTTCACTCGGGGCCACAGACCGACTGAGCCAATAGCCTCAATTATATTCATACTCATGTATTTTTTTCACATCAGCCTGGGTTTAGTTTCATCACTTGATTGGCGCCATCCAGCTTGTTCCGCTCGACTGATGCAAGCATCATGCAGCAGCAACTGCAGAAGACGTGTCCCTCAGGTGTGTGTGCCCCAGCTGGTGTTGTGAATCAGGCCGATGACAGAGACCGCCTACAAGCCGGCTATTTCACAACACCAGGGTGGCACTGCACCACTGCCAACGAGGACCGACTGCAAAAAAAAACGACAGGATCCACAATTTTGGAATGGCCTATATTTTCCTTTTGGATGTCATATAAAGATTTCAAAAAAGGACAAACTTATTTCTTTTAATGTGTGGGTACTACAAATTTTTCATGGGAGTCAATAAAATGTCACCGACTACTTATTTGACTTTTTTTTTGTCCTGTCTTACTGGATTTTCCATGTCATTTAAAATCCATCCATTTTCTAATCCGTTTATCCTCACGAGGGTTGCAGGTGTGCTAGAGTATATCCCAACTGTCATCGGGCAGTAGGCGGAGTACACCCTGAACTGGTTGCCAGCCAATCACAGGGCACACAAACAATCATTCGCACTTTCGATTACACGGAGGGACGAGTGCCCAATTAACCTGCGATGCATGTTTTTGGAATGTGGGAGGAAACTGGAGTACGCGGAGAAAACCCACACAGGCACAGGGAGAACATGCAAACTCTATACAGGAAGGCTGGAGTCGGAATCGAAACCCCACATCTCTGCACTGTGATTTGGACGTGCTAACCAGTCGACCACTGTGCCATTTCAAATGATTAAAAATATTTCACTAACATCAGCCTGCAATCCATCCATCATGCTACCTACCTACAAGCCCCTCCTAATACACACACTACATATATCAGTTTGCATAATTCAGAATAGAACAGATTAGTTCTGTTTGTAATAATTAAAAAGTACAATTTTAATGAAAAATTAAGTGTTAGCAAAACATTAACAGAACTGTTTAATCTGTTATTTATCAATGTTCTGTAATATAGTTCATGCAAATGGAGAAAAATCCAAAGTTTTTTTATTTTTATTTTTTTATATTTAAGGCACACAAGCACATGATAGTGGAAGATGATGCTTGAGTGTTTCACACTTGTTCTTTGGCTATTGATGACCTGCAAAGCTGCCTCGTCACTCACTAGCGGTCTATTAATCACAACCTCTTCTGCTCCTGTCACAAACAGATGGAAGACAAGCAATAATGGTGTCTGGGAAAATGGCCCCAAGAGCCTCTGGGCATGTGACACAAAATGTGGCATACTTATTCTGTGCCCTTGGAATGCTGTCTTTTCCAACCAGAGACATATGGCGACATGTCTACTTGTGATACATTCAAAATGCTTCTGTTCAATCTGACAAAAGTGCATCCCGTATCTGGTTACCGGCTTAAAAGATTCTCACCTCTTGGTAGTTCTTCTTTGGGCCCCAAAAAGGTCAGCCATAATCATGACGAATTCTTCCGTCTAGAACAAGGGGTGTCAAACTCATTTCACATTTTGGGCCGTAGATGTCAAGTGGGCCGGACCATTAAAATTATACTCTATTCTGCTATAAATAACCAAAATATCATGTCTTTCTTTTGTTTTTGGTATAGTGAAGCACAAGAACATTAGGAAAATGTTACAAAACATGTCATGAAACACCTGAGATTTCCTTAGACAAATGTGCAATTTACTTTTATCATTCACATATATACATTGCAACTGATCCCACTGATTGTACAAAGGCATAAAACTTTAACAAGTAATTGGTATTGAAAAATATAGTAATTTTAAAATTAAGATTAAACGAGAATTATAAAGAAAGGAATTTACACGTGCATATCAAATCTAAATGTAATCCCTGCCTACACTTTACAAACTAAAGAGAAAACAGTGTGCCCCTAGCGGATAATTCGTGAATTGCATTTTATTAAAAACATGAATTCTGTGTCTTTTATGCATTTTTTCACTTTTAAATTATCTTGCGGGCTTGATCGAACCTTCTTGGGGGCCGGTTCCGGCCTGAGGGCCGTATGTTTGACACGCATGGTCTTGGACATTCGGCCAAGTACAGTGGAGGAACGTTAGTTGACTTCCTACTTTTAACCAATCACAGCGAGGCAATGGTGAAGCATGTGGTATGGAGACATTAGTGGCGACCAAATAGACAGGTACAGTATTTTATGTTTCATTAAGTGGTAAAGTGTGCCTTGCTATTGACTGGCAACCAGATTAGGGTGTACCCCGCCTATTACCCGAAGACAGCTGAGATAGGCTCCAGCATGCAACGCGACCCTCATGAGGATAAACTGATCAGAAAATGGATGGATGGATGGATGGATCAAGTGATATAGGTTGTATGAAAATGGCATGAAAAAGTTGCTGTCTCATGCCTCGGGTGAGTTTGACTTGACCCCCGGTGGTTAGCACGTCGACCTGCAGAGGTACCGGGTTCAATCCCGGCTCCGGCCTGCCTGTGTGAAGTTTGCATGTTCTCCCTGGGCATGTGTGGGTTTTCTCCGGGTACTCCGGTTTCCTCCCACATTCCAAAAACATGCATGGCAGGTTGATTGGACACTCCAAATTGTGCCGAGGTGTCAGTGTGAGCGGGGATGGTTATTCGTCTCTGTGTGCGCTGCGATTGGCTAACCGGGTCAGGGTGTCCCCCGCCTACTGCCCGAAGACGGCTGGGATAGGCTCCAGCACCCACCACGACCCTTGTGAGGATAAAGCGGATCGGAAAATGGATGGATGGATGGATGGATGTTAATGGGGTATTTATAATATTTCAAAGGGAATATGCCTCATTGATTAAGCTTTAACACGAACCACGTATAAAAAATGCCAGTTTGAATTTAAAATCACTATCAATCACATTTTCTCCAGTTTGGTTACATCGTTGAGCGTGATAGTATGGCGACATCTAACGGACTAAATTCTAATCACCCACGGGGCAGATCGTCCTTGATTATTTATATGTGTTTAAATAAATAAAAAACGACTACAACATCTTTACTGTGAGTACAACTTGAGCAAAAACAATTTTCATAACTTTAACTTAAATGGTTACACAAAACAATGAAAGGATATAAAAGTCAAAATGAGCTTAATACCGCTACGACAGACCACAGGTGTTTTTAATTGCAGGACGTCCAGTAATGAAGAGCGTGACAACATAACTAAACGGCCCCGTTTGACCGTGAATAAGAGCTTTGAAATTAAGCTTTATATGTTTTTTACGGAAAAATAGCACAAAAATGACTTTAAACGACTGTCAGGTAGGTGTCAATTTGTCTTTTGTGGTACTTTTTTGGGATGTTAGCTAGCTAGCTAGTTCACCTGGAATGCTAACTAGAATGAGTAAAAACATACGACAGTTTTTGAAGTTTAAAATAGAAATATTTCATTTTCACGGCAGTTGGCTGTTATCCTCTTGCTGCTTCTTGGCTTCACGCACCACCAAGTAACAGGTAATTCTAAACAAACGCAAAGTAAGATGTGAAATGAGCACGTTAGCTTGTGCCAATGTGCTATGTATAAGCAGGAATCTGCGACGTGGAGATTTGCGCCACCAACCCAGAAAGGTGCGTCCTGTCTAAAGACGAGAGCACCTGCAAGTGTGTGGAAGGATTTTATGATGACAATTGTGGCAAAGGTAGGCTTGTTTGCGCCTCTCGCCTTTATTTTTGCACGATATCATCATTTGGGCTATAGAAATATATATACTACTGGACATTTGATGTCTCATTAAGAAAATCGGCCTGTTGCTACGGTACATGAGCTCTTCCTTGGTTCTGGCAGATCTGCCGAGTAAACAGGGGTTTCCGTCTATCTAACAGAAATATGACGTGGGTCTGTTAACTCGAACAGGGTGATATTGTGTAGAAGGCATGTGGCCCATTTTTATATTGCATTAAGACATGTAATGCATTAAAAAAACGTCAGTATTCATTTTTAATCTCCGAAAAACTGTTTTGGACTGTTAAAATGGTTGACGCTTCTCCAAGCAGAAAATGAATGGCTGTCACATTCAATATGGCCGAGACATCAGCATCCTATTCACTGCCCAGTGTCAACTGTACTGTGTATGTCTGTGATGATGTTGAGGCGACTGTTGTGACATCAATATAAGATTGAAACATGTCGTGACAAATGTACTAATGTTCAGTTTCAATGGACCCTGAGAGGTATTGATCATGATTACCAGAGGAAATTTTGATTCATCTCTAGTATTGAATTTTTAGTACATATTCCATTTGTTCAATTCCTCCTGAGAAAAAAACAACCCCTTTGCTTTGAAACAGATGCACACATCAAAGTCTTGTGCACTAAGACGTACATGGGAGTCAGAGCACGCGAAGAATTCTTCATGTATTACAACACGCCGGTCACGTCTTTGCACCTGCCCAATAGGTCATGCAAAGCATACAGGGAGGTAATCAACAAAGTTCCGTACTACATGGTCAAGGTAGCAAAAAATGAATACATCGGATGTGGAGGCAAATCGCTTGAGGTGCGTCAGCGCTCCAAAGTGTAATACTGACTGCTATTCAATACGACAGTTGCTCACTTGATCATTTTCATATTTCTTTTCATAGAAAAACTTCACTCATGTCACATACACCCTGAGTCTTCAATCAGAGCCTCAGGCCATTGGAAACATCATCAGAGATCCTGTCATCAAACTGGATTTCACATGCATCTTTCCATTCATCAGAACAGTCAGCCTGCCTTTTCCAGTTGAACCCATTTCCAGGTTAAGTCGCTTTCATTTTCGTTTCCCATTCTTATTCATAGAGCCGTGTGTTACCAAAACGTCCTGGGTTAGCAAATATATGAAAACTAACACACTTCTTTCAATGTGTAATTTGATTTGAGCAATCCTTAAAACTATAGAATCCTGGCCTTTTTATCGGGCTGTGATTTGTTGCCAGTTGTGCTCGCTCATGACGTGAATGAAGATGTGTGCAAGAGAAAATGGATGGTTAGGTATAACCCACCTGACAACAATGATGCCTATAGTACCACTGTGGCCCAATTTAGTCTGTAGTCAAGGTCATCTGAATCATTTAATTCACTCTAATCTTCATAAATTTCTACCACTTCTTTGTCATATTCAGTGGATGGAGCAGGTTTAGTTGTCATGGCGACAGTTTAATCACCATTGTGGATATTCTATATATCTCATAGCCACTGCTGGCAGTGGCTATGAGGTTATTCATCAATATACAGTTGGAGACACTTGTGAGCAGAAAGACTGCACATGTTCTAACAGTTTCTAACTGGGTGAGCAATTAATTACCTGACTGAGTTGTGCTTGGCTCACACAAACAGTGAGGCGATGGTGCGTGTCGATGAGCTAGATGCGACCATACAGATGATGTTGTACACGGATCATAGCTACACTACAGCTTTCAGCAGTGCCCCCACTGTTGAGCTAGGGGATCAGGTAGTCTCCAGCTTCACTCTTAATTCTGCCCGTATCACTCTGCATTTTGTTTTGAATATCCTTTGCCATGCGCTCAGGTGTATGTTGAGATCACCGTGACGGAGCCTGCAGACTTTTTCCTCCTTCGCATCAATGACTGCTGGGCCACACAGAGTCAGCAAGCCAATGCCTCGGAGGGATTGGTTCACAGCCTGCTTTTGAATGGGTTAAAACATCTCTGCATTGAAATAATCACGCTTGACTTGTCTCTTCAAAAGTGAACTCGTGTCAATGTGATTGTGACTCCTCTTTCCCGGTGTCTGTGTCAAGGTGTGCGACCGATGACACAGTTGCCTTCCACAGCCTGAGCGAGGGAGAGTCTGGCCTTAATGGGCAGAGCTCCACCATTCACTACAGCTTCGCCATGTTCCGCTTCACAGTAGAGCCACACTTGTTCTATCTGCATTGCACCGTGCAGCTCTGTGACCCAGATGACAGAATATCCTGCACACCTGTGAGCTCCTAACTGTCATCCTTGTGTGTGTGTGTGTGTGTGTGTGCGTGTGTGCGTGTGTGTGCGCGTGCGTGCGTGCGTGTAGGGAGGCTGGGAGTTATAGTGAGGAAAAATGCAATGAGAGGATGTCTTTTTTTTTTTTTTTTTTAAGCTAAAGATGGAGCTTTTGTCTTATAGAACTGCAAATCCATCACGAAGCGAGAAGCAGTGCGAGTAGACACTGCCCAAGGGCTGTTGTCATACGGACCCATCAGAATTGAAACACCAAATAAACCTGTGTCTAGTAAGTCACCATTACATTATCACTGCCTACTCCGGTTTTTATTAATTGTTAAGGAGAAAACCCAAGATGCATGTGTCCCCCCCCCACAGATGTAGTGACGACGGTGGTGCTCCCTGTAGCAGGTGTCTGGGCTGTGGGCTTCATCCTCACCCTCCTCATCGCAGTGGCAAGAGCTGGCAGTAGGAAGATTGTACAAACTGAGCAGCTCTGATGATTTCAATAAAATGTAAAAACATTGTTGGATCCTATTTATTGTCATCACAAGCAGGGCTAAAAATGTCATTTTACACAGGCAAGCACACAACTTGAGATTCTTTTAATTACACTTTTGGATTATTGCCTTCCCCCTTAAAGGTTTCTACTGTTAACCAATGGCAAGATCAGGTTTTGATAACATGCATCAGTGTATACTCTGTAAATATGGACGTTGGCTTCTTTGCATCCATGTCTTGTGAGATGATGGATCTTCTACGATACTTGGAAAACCTACGTGTGTTATTGCGGAAGGGGATGACGATATCCTTTATACAATTTGTGCCCCCTGAGGGGTGGTCTTTCTAAATGTCAGTAAAGAAATGAGACCAGAGCCTCACACTCTATTTTAGCTAAACTCTTTTGTCAGTCATTTTCCCTTTGAAGTTTATCTATCATTGCACCACTGCCGCTGACTGGCAACCAGTACATGGTGTGTCCTGCCTGTTGCCCAAAATTGGTTCGAACAGGTTTAGGCTCCGAGCTCACCAGCAATTCTAATGAGGACAAGCACTATAGACAATGGGATGGGTGGCTTGAGCAATTAGTTACAAGTACTATTTAAAACAGTTGAGGAAAAGGTTCACTTTGTTAACCATTATGATAAAAAACCTGTAAAGTCGAGTCGTGAACAAGTCTTAGGAAAATAATTCGGGGTGGGGCTTTTTTTTTCACGTACAGTGTACCACCGCATAATCACGGTTCGGCACCAGAGGATTTGCATCCCATGGTTTTAACGTGCCAGCAGTCTCGCTTCATATTGACTTGTATTTTCTTCAGAAGCCAGCAGAGGACGATGTAGGATATCATAGCCTTTTGCTCTCCTCCACAGTTATGCCTTGTTTTTGAGCGGGTGGGCTTCTCAACCTCGGAATTATTTGATCGCATATTCCTCTCTGTTTTATAGCGACCTCGTCTTTGTTTACGAGTATGCTCCACGCGTGAAAGATATTGCCAGGTTTATTTTTACTTCGGCGTTTTTTTTTTTTTTGCGGCTGCATTATTTTCGTCACAATGAAAGTCAGAGTTCAAGTTGACCTCCCATTTTTGCTTGCAAGTGTGCTGCAGAGACCAAAGGGAGATCATTGTCAGTTTTGCTCTGTTGGGCAACATAAGGGCGAAGTGCCATCTTAATTTGGACCACACACACCTCTGGAGTTCTACCAATTTGCTCCAGTTTCACTGTGAAGGTAATCTTTTCTTGAAGTTTTTCAGGTGACACTGCTTGTCTCAATGTGAGGGGACGTGGAAACTAGCCGCTGTTTTTCCTCAATCCCTTCCTTGCTGGCAGAAGAGTTCCTTTGTTACAGTACCTCCATCACTCCACAGTGGATCTTCAAAATGATCTCAGCTCAAGAACCCCGATTTCAGATTCTGATCACTTCGGTTTACTTACTTTCTCTGTTCATTGGCAATGCAACGGCGGACGTGCCGGAGCAGGACGACTTCAATGCAGAGGTTAGTTGTGGTCCAATTTCGTCAATTCTAAGTTTTGTTTTCAACTTGCGTCACTACATTCCAAGCATGCACGCCATTTGACTTTCATACCATTCAACAATTCACTTAGGGTTTGCTTGTGGAAAGTGCTGTTCTGGGAGAAAAGCGTAATTCCGTCTACCTGTAAATAAATATTTAGGCTACTCTACCAGACTGTACCTCACAGTCGGAGATCAGTTTGGAAAAATCACAAGCTATATTAATCCGTAAAGGATGAATCAAGGAAATTTCACCGTTATACTATGGATGACTATCTACAAAGTAATATGCATATTATTTGTTACATATATGTATATAATGGATTTTAAAGAAATACATTTGTTCTCAAGTAAACTATGCAATATCAATTTAGGGCAAGGCAGCTTTATATAGCTCATTTCACACACAAGGTAACTCACTGTGCTTCACAACATACATTTAAAAGCATTTACAATAAACAGAAGTAAAGAAAAGAAAAAAAAATCAAGAATGCGATGCAAAGAAATAGAAGTTATCTTGCTAAAATTACAAAAAGACCATAGAGTCAGATTAAGACGAATGGAGGTTACCCTTTAATATTACCGGTACTATAACACCCAACAATGCTTGCATAATTGTACACATGTCCACTCATGAAGATGAGGTGTGTTTGACTCTTCACATTTAACAATTCACAGTCACATCAGACAACCGCTTTGCCTTAGAGTAAGGCCAAAAAAAGGGTCCTAAACTAAACTTAATTGTTCATCTGTGCTCATATTGGTGGATAAATAGTCACCCCAGTCTCGAGGTAAACCTGCACTATCATGCCGTCTATGCATAATATTTAAGGTCCATGTGCTCAGATTAGTTTGTGTGTGCTGTATATGTGCTGCTGCCTCCATGCTGTGCGGTGTGCATTAGATTTTGAGTCCAGTGACTCTGCCATGCCAAGGAAACGCTTGCTGTGCTGCTTTTAAGCCCCATGGAGGTTGTTTTTAAAAAGGCACGTCTAAAAAGACAGGAGCAGTCGACCTGCTTCCTTAACTACGTGGCTTCACGTGCTGCAGCGGACTGTCAGTGAACTCCTGGTCCTCGATGAGCATGATCACAGAGGTGCCCAAGCACAATTGAGGAATGTTTTCATTTGTTTGCTTAACATCTGTGTACATCCTTTTTTTTGGCAGTCACTGCAGAGAAGGCGCAGGAATGCGTTGATATTATTAGAGGCCATCTGGTTTCTATCTGTTTTCTTTTTCCCCTTCGGATTGTCAAGTTATGAAGTAATGGCTGCTTTCCCAGATTAACATTGTTGCTGATGGCTTGCTTTTATCACCTTGCAGGCGTGGCTTCGTCAGTTTGGCTACCTGTCCCAAGCCAGCAGGCAAATGTCCACTATGCAGTCAGCCCAGATCCTGTCCCAAGCAATTAGTGACATGCAGCGTTTCTACGGCTTGGAGGTGACCGGCAAGTCAGATGCCGCCACTGTCACGTAAGATCCCTATTTGTGCCTGTATCGGATGGCTGTCTTCTCAAAGACTTTCATTCCAAACAGTGGCCACAAACTAATTCCAGACATCTCGTGGCACCCACTTTTATACTAGTCTTGTAATGGAGAGGTTTTACAGTGAAATGCCACATTTGAATTGTATTTTGTGCAACACTGATTGGCAGTGTACCCAGATCATGGATTTGTTGCCATTGTTTTTCCATCAACTGCAGTTGATGTTACATAAAGGCAATTACACATATAGTGCTTAGGTGAGTGTGAAAGTAGTATTTCAATCACCTCCATTCTGATAAATAAGTCAGTCATTAAAAAGAAATACGAAGCAGAATCATGGATTACATGACTACTATTATTCCATCCATTTTATATCCTGCTTCTCTTCTTCAGAGTCGCGGTGGGGGGGGGGGGGTTGCTGGAGCCCATCCAAACTGACTTCGGGCCAAAGGCAGACTACACCCTGGATTGGTTGCCCATTTAATCAGAGGGCACATTGAGACTGACAACCATTCACATTTACATTGTCACTGAACCCAGGCTGCCAGCATGGAAATCAGGCGAATGTACTCATTTGATATGCATTGATTAATTTTTATTGACATCAACTTTAATTTTTATTTACATCAACTAGTAATGGCCCATCATGTATTGATGCAAGCTAAATATAAACAATAACATGAAATTTTGTGGCAGATAAAGTACGGAACATAGCCAGGTTTATGTCCTCTTTTGCTATTTTTTATTTATTTCAAGTCAAGTAAAATATATTTGTTTAGCCCTTGATCACAAAGGAGTCTCAAAGGGCCTCACAAGCCCACAAGCTTAACTCCACAGGAGGGCAAGGATTAAAAAACAAACATCTGGGGAAAAATAACAAACCTTGAGAAGGACCTGCAGAATGGGGCAATCCCCCTTCCAGGATGACCAGGCTGCAAAGGATGCAGTAATAATAATAATAATAATAATAATAATAATAATAATAATAATACATTACATTTATAAGCGCCTTTCAAAACACTCAAGGACACTTTACAATCAAAACAAGCAGTGGGCATCATGTTTGTTAGAAGAGTGTGAGTCCATTTAATAAGATAAAACATTGCAGGAAGACTCCTTCACGTTAACGGGTCCTCCTCAAAACCCGGCCAGGTTGGTCAATGCGGACATTTCCATAGTAGCACCTCGGAGGAGGTGGTCCACCTCAGATCATGTCTAAATTTGTCTGTGCAGAATCTGTACAGCGACATCCAATTCGGTCATCGTCACCTTGCCAGTCATAATGCTGTTTTCCCATTCAGTCGTTATTTAACAGGGCAGCACGTCAAATTAATGGTTAGCACATCTGACGTACAGTCGAGAAAGGTCTCTAGTTCGAATCTTGAATGTGTGCAATTTGCATATGCTTCCCGTGCTTATGTGGATTTTCTCCAGGGTACTCCGACTTCCTCCCACATTCGAAAAAATGTATGTTAAGTTCAATGAAGATTCAAAATTGTCCATATGTGTGAATGTGAATGGTTGTTTAAGAATCCCTGTGATTGAGTCGCAGTGCCACTTGGGTCCTGTGTATAAACTGATTCCTTCAGAGTCGTTTGTAAAGTCTCATTTTTGTTCGAGTGCTGTTCTCATTTTCACAGGTTAAAATGATGCATTCATGTCCAGCTAAAATCAGTTCATGTCATGTATGTGTGTGCTACCTGTGCCTTTGTAGGGCCATGCGTCGACCTCGATGTGGTCTGCCAGACAAAAAAGCCGAACTGGATGATGGCACGAGAAGGAGACGCTACGCTGTTACTGGACAACGGTGGGACAAGGACCACATCTCCTACAGGTATATTGCACTAACACACATACCTATTAAGTGCAATGTATCTACCATGAAATACATTTCTATGTGTCAGTATATTGGACCAGCACATCCCGCACTCCCTGGGAGCGCAGAAGACCTATGATGCGATCCGCAGAGCTTTTAATGTGTGGCAAAGGACCACGCCGCTGACCTTCCAAGAACTACCGGCTCAGCATGGCAACAGCAGCCAGGCTCAGCTCGCGGACATCCTGTTGTTGTTTGCCTCTGGTTTCCATGGCGACATGTCCTTGTTTGATGGCGAGGGGGGCTCACTGGCCCATGCCTTCTACCCCGGGCCTGCAATGGGCGGGGATACACACTTTGATGCAGATGAGCCTTGGACTTTGGACAGTCCAAACCACCAAGGTTAGCGGGTTGCTTTTATTTTGTTTTTTTCAAACCAGTAGAGCAAGCTAATGGTATGCATGGTGTTTAGCATGTCTGCCTCCCAATTCTCCCTCACAGGGTTTTGGTCTCTGAAATTACTAAATTTTTATTTTATTTTTTTATTTTAGCGTTTGTGCAAATCCGCACCCCATTATTCATTTACTTTGTGTGTAATTCAACTCCTCGCTCCTCTTTCATCTTGTGGCACATTTCATATGCATCATCTCAACAAAATAATTGTTAACTGTGACATCCTGTGAATTCAATAAATCCCTACGCATTTACACATAATTTTGATCCTTTGATCCTCCTTCATGCTACAGGTATTGACCTCTTCCTTGTTGCGGTGCACGAGCTTGGTCATGCTTTAGGTCTGGAGCACTCTGACAACCCCAACGCCATTATGGCTCCTTTCTACCAGTGGATTCACACGCACAACTTCACACTGCATGAGGATGACATCCAGGGAATACAGCACATATATGGTGAGAGGCTCATGCTTTAATTTTGTCTTCAGTGTCCAAAAAACATGTTGAAATGACTACTTAGAGTACTCTTCACTTAAATATTTGGAACATGGAGCGTATACTGTTTTGCGAAGGTCCATTTAGATATTTCATCATTTGCATTATTATCCCTTTATATGGTTATTCAATGAATAAATCAGGATGTCATTTCACTGATATGTACAATCACGTTTTTGTTGCTTAAATTACTCATCATTGGCTGACACTGCAAGAGGGTGCAGTTTTATGTGCCACCGGTGACATTTAAGCGATGGTTTCCTGTTATAAAACTTTGTCATCTACAAGGTCATATGGGTTTTGTGAAAGAAGAATATGTCAAGTATTTTCAGCCCCCAAAAAACGGATAAGGTAAAGAGAATGCCAAGCCGTATTGATTCGATATAACAAGTAGAGGCAACACGTGTTTGCATACTAACGAACAAAGTATGTAAGAACATCAATTGTTTGTACTCATTATATAACAGTGTTTTCCTCTCCTAGCAACCAGTGTGGCAGCTTTTTCCTCAAAGTAGTCACAGTCAATTAAGTTGTGGAAAAGTGTTTGTTCAGTCTTTCAGTGTGTGAGGACTTTTTTACTCTTCTAGGTCCCCCTCGCATTATTGAGGCTCCTTCCACCGCTGGTGGTGATCCGGAACATGCATTACCCACCTCCCCTTCTCCCCCGGAAGACGAACCCACCAATCCTCCCCCGACTGATGCCAAACCGAAGATCCCAAGCACAACTGAAGGAAGCCCACATGTCACGCACAAACCCGAACCAACCTTTGCCCCGACCACGCATGCCGTAATCCCCACCACCTCCCATCCTGATCCCGAATTCACGCCACCCTTCAGAAAAGACGTGCCCCGTCCTCCACCTACTCGCCGCCCTCCCAAGCAGCCGGATAACAAGGCCCCTGATATCTGTGATGGGGACTTTGACACTGTGACCCTTCTCAGGGGGGAGATGTTTGTGTTCAAGGTAAGACAAATAAAAGGTTTGGATTGGTAAAATCTGTATACAATGATCAAAATATAACTTTTTACCTCATCTGAGAGAAAGAATAATTTTCCTTCAATTCACACAACTCAACCGACATGCCAGGCAGGTACAAGCGAAAATCTGGTAAGCAGTGACATCAAGTATTGTTTGGTCATATGTGCAGGGTCGCTGGTTTTGGCGTGTGCGTAGGAACCGGGTCCTGGACAACTATCCCATGCCGATATCTGTCTTTTGGGCTGGTCTTCCCGACAACATTGATGCAGCTTATGAACGCCATGATGGCAAATTTGTCTTCTTTAAAGGTACATTCTCTGTCGTATCATCGTCTTAGTTTACGCCGTGTGCACTTAACTCTTTTATGAGCATATTCTGTCCTTTAGCAATTTACTAAAAGCACTCGACCAATGTTTTCCTTCTGCAAAATCTTGTCCGGCAGGGCAAAGCCAGCAAGGAGCTGTTTAATTAAATGCGTCTCGATAAAGACAACTTTGGCAGTGATATTCAAATTTGTGCTTGGATTTAAAGGAAATAGTGCAAACTCAGCATTTTTTTCTTGCCAAGCCTTAATTCAAAAGAGATTACAGTAATTCAATGTTGCCAGTCATTGATGCAATACTTACTGTATTTCAATTCCATACATTTACAATAAGTTACTGTAACCAACAATAAGCACTGAGCTGTCAATGTGTGTTTTTCTACCACACCGCTTCATGGCATATCTGACACTTGGTCACATGTAGCTACGACCGCATTGCCGACACTATATGTGTATGTTGGTGTGTTACAAGTTTAGTAGATGTCATTAATGACGTCGACGCCACGGCTTGGCAGCTGTTGCTGGCTCGGTCCAGACTCCCAAACAGCCTCCTGAGAGAGAACAGATTTCATCAGCCCTTGGTCCATTGCAGCACATGTGCACAGTGTTCACCGTTATAATCAGGCTTTGTAAGAAAGAGTTTTCAGATTTTTCAATATTTTTCTCTGTTTGTAAGCACAATGAGAGAGTCTTGCTCTTCCTTCTTTATGAAACTTGTTACAGCATCTCCCCAAAATGCAAGTGAAAGCTGTCTCTCAAACTGGATACGATATAGACTACCAGGGCAATAGTATTGGGCCACACCTCCAAATCAATCGTTTGATCAATCAGGGAATCATTTTGGGGCTCTTGGAACCGGGATTAATTGCACAAATGCATTTGGAGATTTTGGAAAAGAAGTATTCAGAGAAAGAAGCACCAGGTGACCCCTCTTTTTAAATTTGATGTGACGTATTTTGCCCCCCTGCAGATGATCAATACTGGGTGTTCAGGGAAGCGGATGTATTGCCAGGATACCCGCAGCCCATTCGGGAATATGGTCAAGGAGTTCCGGCTCACGGCATCGACACGGCAGTTTGGTGGGAGCCAAACGGATACACCTACTTTTTCTCTGATGACCGGTATTTGACACACAGTCCCGTTTAAGACTTCCGCATGCAAATGAGCCAGTTTACCAGTATTAATCTGCATAAATATTTGTCCGTGTAGATACTGGAGATTCAATGAGGAGACCCGTAAAGCGGACAGAGACTTCCCGAAACCAATCAGTAGATGGGGAAAGATCCCTCCCTCACCCAAAGGAGCCTTCCTCAGTGATGATGGCGGTAAATGATTAACTGAAGGGGATTTAAAAGAGGAACGACAGCTTCAATCCATAACAAATACAGACAAGTCCAAAAGTAGTTAGGGCAACAAGAGGCGTTGTCAGGGAGGGAATCAAAAGTGCAACTGCGTAGTGTTGAATGTTAATGGAGATTGGTTAGGCTGGTGCAAGTGGAGCAAGGAAAAGGGCAAGACGGGGGAAGAATGAGCTCTCTGGTTTGAGGGCTTGCCAGTGCTTCACTTTGGAAATTAGATTTCCGGCAGCACTGCTGTAAATGCACCGAGCGGATCTGGAGCCCATTTGAAGGATTCAAGTGGTTAAGAGCGCATTTAAACCAACACATCACATGTAATTATTTTAATACTGATATCAAATATTACTGCTTGAATTCAACCTATTGATTATTTTAGATGTATGAGATAGTCATGGAAAATGATTCCTGTTCATTGACATGTTTCACGTTTGCCTTCTTCTCATCGATGAAGGTTAATTCCAAATTAGATTGATTGATTACATGAAATTATTTTTGGCATTATATATTTTAAAATTAATCGGCCAGTTAATTGACAATAAGTCCTTTTTGCCACAAAAAGACAGGCTCGGACTCCAAAAATTTTGGTGGGCCCTAGTTTTTGCTTAGCATGGTTGTACTCCAGCTTCCTCCTGCATTTAAAAAAAAGCTTGTTAGTTTAACTGAAGACTGTGTGTATATCCATACTGTATGTCGGAATCTGCGTGTGACTGTGAAACCATTTTAATGATTAATCCCCTCCTCACATTCTTACACATACATTCCTCAACTAATTAATGGATAATTACTTTTGAAATCAGAGAGATTAGCTTTTGTTCAACTGTTGTTCAAGTTACTGTAAAATGGGATTTTGGTACAAATTTTTCATGCAAGTTGACAGACTTGATTTGCTTTCGCGGGCCCATAAAATGATGTGGCAAGCCAGATTTGGTCCCTGTGCCTTGAGTTTGAGAACCGTGGTATTCAGTATATTTGCCTTGTGATTGTCTGGGGACAAGTCCAGGCTGAGATATTAAATCAGATTCGAGTCCTTTTATTATTCACATCAACTTTGTAACAGAAGCACACGGGCCTGATAAATAGTCACACAAACACAAAATGCCGTTTGTGTCTCTTGCAGCATACACCTATTTCTACAAAGGCACCAATTACTGGCGGTTTGACAACCACAAGACAGTAGCAGACAAAGGCTACCCGCGCTCCATCCTCAAGGATTTCATGGGCTGTGTGGGCATCCCGGAGCCTCCGCCAGACCCAGACATCCAGCCCAAAGCTGAAGATAAACCCGCAAAGCCTTCAGACAGAGGAGATGAGGAACGCAAAGATGTGGACCGTGGGAAAGATGACGAAACTGCACCCGAAAAAGATGACGATGGCCCAGAAGTAGATGAGGATGACAAAGACGTGAACGTGGTGGTGACGGTGGCAGACAACGGATCCAAGGTCATGACCTTGATCATGGTGGTGGTGCCTCTGATGCTCATCCTGTGTATCCTGGTCCTTATCTTTGCCATCCTCAGGACTCTGCAGAACAAAGAGACCCCCAGGGCTCTGGTGCACTGCAAGCGTTCACTGCAGGACTGGGTGTGAGACACACAACTTTTTTTCTGCACTATTTTGGTAGAAGATTGTTTTATGCAGGGCTATTTTCCCATGCATAATAACGAATAACCTGTGAGGTGGTGACAATAGTGCCTGTGGAGCTAGTTCACAATTTTTCTCGTGCCTTTGTACTCTTCATTAGATCCCTTTTTTTCAGCTGCCATAGCCTTAGTGTGAAAGACACATGGCGCAATAGCAATTGACTGTTTTCAATCATTTGTTGCGATACAGAGATTCGGTCGGTGTTGTCAGATGCTTTTCTCAATGAGTCAGCAATGATCACAGATCTTCTTAAGGCCAGACATTTGCACTTGTTGTTTCCCTACTTTGTTGTTGTTTTGCTGCTGTTGCTTCCTTGCAGATGTCTTTGTGTGCGTGAGCATGCATGCAAAAGCATTCCCAAGTGTACGCACACGAGCCGGGGTCGTCCTCCAAGCAGCGCAGGAATGTCAGACAACACATGCCCAAACATCACATGATCTCAAATGCCCCTGAAGAGAAAAGACACGTTTAGAGACCACTTACACAGGCACATAATACAGTACACGTTTTTTTGCACACAGACTCCCGGGCTCCAGCCTCCACTCCTCCCACCAAGATCACTATTTAGACTCCACCACTAAATGAACAATTTCAGCTGAGTTCTACTGTGGCATAGTATGTGCCGAGGCTGCATTGAGAATCACTTTGTGGTATAAATCACTCCTTTATTCTAACTTAAAGCAAAAGTGAATTCTGCAGCCATTACAATTCAGTGTTCAGTGTGTGACGAATAAAGAAGAACAGGCTTTGGTTTCCATTTGGCCCACATGCTGCAGATTTAGTAGTGTCGAGGCATGAAGAAGGGAGAGAGAAATGTAAAAGAAGAAATAAAAAATGTTGAGGAGGAAATGAGAGAGAATGAGATGAGGGTGAAGTGAAGGGTGGGCCAGATTCTTTTTTCCTTGGAATAGGAGGCGTGAGGGAAGGAAAGAAAGAAAGAGGGAGGAGCAGCGCTGGCGTTGTGCCTCTTGACCTACATGATTCAAATCCCACTCCTCTTTTTTCCAGTTTGTTGCCATTAGCAGGAGATGACTTCCTCTCCCAACTCCTCCCTTCCTATTCTATCTTTCTGACCACTTTTCTGCAAATTCTCAGTCTCACGCTACTTTTTTTTGTCCCACATGTATTCATTTTCAGATTTTGTTCTTCCCTGTGAAAAGCCAAAAATCACTGACTCCACTCATTCACATTTGCTTTCCGTGGATTCTTCCTTGTGCATTGATTTTTTCTTTCTTTTTTTTTTTTTTAACTAAAAATTTGTAGTGTTGTACGTATGACCAGTCGTATATTCCAAAAGTGTTCATGCATGCAGAGCATGTTGTGTGTTGGGGCCTGCACGCTCCTGTGTGGACTTTGTTCGAAAATTGACAATAAAATTCACCGGTAAAAACAGAAGGATGCCATCAGTTTTTTTTTCACCCCTTTCCTCGCATATGTTTGTTATTAACTGGAAGGGTTTCTTTTCTTGCCAGGGTTTCTTCAGCCTGCATTATATTTTTCCACCACAAGAGGAAGCCCTTTCTCAAAAGTGACTTAATCCATATGGCAATAAACTACACGGTTTTTTGTACCAGATTAAATGACTACAGTACAAATTCATTTTTTATTTATTTATTTTTCAGATGGACTATCAAAGTAACCTGAAACCTGTAAACAATTTAAGGTAAGTTTCTTTGATGTCTTCTACTGTGTGTCATATGCACATTGAGCAATTTTATGGTGCTTGACGTCTATCCCAGTTAAAAGTGAAGATTTATTCATCTATTCAAACTTTTGGGAAATATTTATCCTTTTTATTTATTGATTCATTTTAAATGAGATGGTTTTATACTGCAGGTGGCTGGAGACCAGTCCAGGGTGTACACCACTCCACCTGCGACAAATCAGAGAGGATAGGATGAAGTTCACTTGCAAAGCTAAAGAATGAAGAAGTTTAGGAGATTTTGTGTCCACCATACAGTATGCTGTCTGTTTTGATGCAGTGAGTGCCCCTTCCTGTATGCCTTTGTGTCGCAGTTAATCAGGATGAGCTCTGATCACAGATCAGCCATTGCAGCTTTGACGGCCTTCTTTCTTCTGCTTTCTGTTTTTCTTCTCCGCACTGTTGTCAAAACCACACTTGGTGTGTTTGACTCCCTTTCTTCTACTACTTCTGTGATAGCATGCCCTTACATGCAGTCTGTCCCTCCGTTTTATCCACATGTTGAGTTAAGATTGAGGCCAGTGATGGTGCCATCTTCCTGTTCTCGCAGCTTATCCCCTGTTGAGCGCATAATGGGATCTGCAACCTGCAACCTCCCCAACCTTATACTGCCCTTTCTCCTGCAAAGCACTGGAAGCTTTAGAAGGTGACCTGCTGGACTTGATTAAGGTCTTTCGACCTGACACACACACTTTTTTTTGCAAAAGGTGTCAAAAAAATGTCCATCTAAAATTTTTTTAAAAAGTATTGTGAACACATGTATTACTGTATAGTCAATTCAAAATGTGAAAGGGCATATATTACTGTGTATAGATTGACTACATGGAGAGTAAAATATTTCATGATTAAAGAGCTAACAAATACAAATTCATCTTTTGAAGAAATTGGAATATTATTTAAACAAAGTATTTTGATCTAGAAATGAGAAATTTGGCTTTTTTATCCATAGCTCCTACATTTGTGTCAAATGAATATTTACTATAATTACGAGTGTAATACAGGGCAGAATATACTGTGTTAGCATAGGTTACTGGTAGACTATAGTAAAAATTCAGTTCACATCAGCACCGTAGGAGCTGTCAAATATTTAAGGTGCCTCCCCAGGTTGCCTTTTGTTTGGTGATGTAATAATTAATACTAAAGTAATAATGAATTAATAGGAAATGTCTCTAGCATAAATAATGGCATTGGTGTTTTTATAGCATTAGAATCTATACTGCTAAGGTTGATCTGGTCTCCATCCTGCATTTCCTCAAAACCTGAGCCTGTAAGCATGCATAATTAAGATACTGTATAGCATCATATGTTTTCAAAGGCTGTTTACATTATTTATTATTCAAAACTTTCATTAAAGTAGGTTGCTACTTTGCATCACGGGGAAATGTGTACTCGTGCTGAAACATCCTGTCAGACATGTCTGAATCATACATCCAGTAGGCATCGGAAATCTTGTTTCCAAAACAAATCTGAATAAGATGTAAACATTACAATACATCAGGTATTTTCCACAAAAGGCAATATATTCAAAATAAGATTCTATCTAAGTCAGGTAAAGACTGAACTGGATGCCCACGTTTACAGCTGCAGCTTCCGACAGTTTGCATTGCTTTGATCGGATGAGGTCGTCGTCATGCCTTACTCATCCCAATCTGGCTTCGAGTCGAGGATTGGGCCTTAACCTACAGGTGGTGCTCCTTAATCCAGTTAGAGTCGGGCAGCCGTTGTGGAAAATCCTTGCAGGTCTGTGTCGCACTGTGGATCTCGTCGTCACCAGCGGCATGCTGGGCTACCTGTAGACCCTCAGGTAGGAAACTACAGTGTTTACTTGTTTTTCTACTGTTGATGTTGATTATATGGATGCTATTTAGTGCACAAACTACCAGACTCGTGCAATTCAATCGCCTGATGCCCTTTTGCAGAAGTGGATTATTCCAATCAGGCTGATAAATTTTGACAGTGGACACAATACTCAGCACAAGTGCAAATCTCCAACCTTGAACCTTATTCTTTCTCGGCCTTTACACTGCTTGACTTGCATGGAAGACAAGATGGTCCCTTTTTACCACTTAGTCGCCTATACGTGAAGCATTCGTAGGATGCAAATGCTTTGGTAGATGAAATATGAAAGTAAATGCGAGAGCAAACATTGGATTAAAAACATGTGCTTCATCACATCTCCTCAACTGCACTGAAGGGCTCTTTATCACTCAGCTGAATTATCATCATTATCATGAACATTATTGAATCTTGACAGAGGACGTCTGTGTGTGTGTGTGTGTGTGTGTGTGTGTGTGTGTGTGTGTGTGTTTGCGTGCATTTCAATAGGATGTTCAACTGGGTGGTGAAAGTGGTACCCCATCCACCGGGATCTCCTCAAACAGATGCAGTTAGCAAGAATCCTGCTGGGGTAAACATACACACAAACACACACACGCACACACCAGGGGGGCTTTCTCCCACGCGCGTGCACACACACACACACACACACACACACACACACACACACTTGACCGTGGATGACATCAACGTTTTCCGTCCTCTAATTGTTTGGTCAGAGCAAGCCATGTTTGACGAGCCAAGCGTGGCTGTTTTGATCTAAATAAATGAATATATTTATAAACGTTTTCATGTTTTTGTCAAGCTATTTCGTAAATATACTCCAGATGTTGTAGGTGGTTCAGTTACATGCTAATATACAGTTGTCCCTCGCACATCGTAAGGTGTCTTTCATTTAGTGCAGGTTTCAGGATTTTATGTGCAGTACAGTTTCTTCTTTTTTGTACATCTCCATTATTTATTTTATTTATTTATTTATTTATTTATAATGAAGTAGTTATTTTGGTGTGTCTTGACCTCCACAGTGGCACCTCCTGCCAGTAGCCTCAACTGACACCGTCACTGTCAACCAAATTGGCTATTGCTATAGCTAGGAAATAGCCAGCCTACAGTACATACTCATATGTTCACTTGCACATCTCTCAACAAAGCAGACTTGCCTTTTAAATGCAAACACACATTCACAGTCATAGATTTAGTTCACACTGCAGCTGAATTCCGATGTTTTTTTTTTTGCCCGTATGTGACATGTATCAGATTTTTTTTTCATGCACTGTGGACTCTGCAATACAGACTTTTTCAAATGTAACCTGGGCCTCTTTCTTATGTGGGAATAAATCGGATATGTATGCGATGCGTCTGCAGGATATCCCCAAAATATTTCTACCTCCTCCCACCTCGCTACTCTGGTGATATGAGATAAGATGAGCCTCTACATGCAAAAACAAATACCTGTACCTCACATGTACTGCATGTAATGTATCGGTTGATGGTGGTAAAGTGTATGCATGACATTTTAAAATATGATTGAATAATACCTGGATTCTACTTTATGCATTTTGTCTGTTGCGGGGATTTCTCTTCCAAACACTTCTCTCTGCACGCCAGATTAAACAGGAATGCCCCAAAAGCAGAGCTGGTGAGGATTCTAACATGCCATATCATGTTTAATTTCTTGTGTGCTTTATGATTATTCTAATACCAATTATGCAACACAGCCAAGAGTCCTCCACTGAAGGGTACAGGAGATGCCTCAGAGGACAGGTAAACTTATTTTTTTAGGTCTTTCAATAATTATGAATATGTGTGTGTTTGTGTGCGTATATACAAATAGAGTATTTTATGCTCTCTTCACACCTGCTCCACAGTCAGTCCCAGGCGGGAGTCTTAGGTTGGCTGTCTAATGGCTTTGCAAGCACCCTGCCTCAGCCTGCTGGCTCCCCTCACCTCGACAGCAAGGTGCGGTGTTCAAATGCTCTTGTCGTCTATGAATGAATACAATTAGCATGACCTGATGGATTTTTCATTCCGTTTCATTCAGTTGCAATGTTTTTGATAAGTGTAAACCATACCATGTAATGTGTCTAAACTGGACTACTTTTCAACTTATTATACAGACACACACACACACACACACACAAAATGGGAGGGGGGTTATTCATTCATTCATTTACAACAAAAACAAAATGGGGGTAAAACAAAAACAAAAGACAAGACTAAAACATTACTGACAAATGTGGCATTACATACATAATACAATCTGTTGCCTCAAAGAGGTTAAGATTTTCTGCCTGTTAATAATTTTGTTTTCATTTTCTCTCCACCAGTCTGTTGGGGATGGAGAAAGGTAAAGTTTTAACCAGCAAAGTGCCCATTCTTTGGATG